GTACCAAATCAACCAAAGGCTACGAATGAGTCTGAAAATCAAATGACAACGAAGTTGTGAATGACGGTCGACAAATGGATACATAAAGGCCACACCCAGCAGGCAGGTTGCAGTTGGGCCTTGAAAAAAGTATTCAGTATATCAGTTCGGCGAAACAGACATTTCGGTCAGATATGGGATTTACATGCAAACCCCCAAAAAAATTTACGCCCGTTTTTTTATTCACCATGTTCATTTAATGCTGAATAATTCTGTTGGATTTTTTTTTCTGATAGCAAAAAGGGGACACGAGAATTGTTTTCAATACAGATACGGCCAGAATTTTTGTTTAAGGCAAAAATCAGGGTCAGAATTTTTTCTCTAAAATATCTCAGACTGCCCTATCAAATCAAATGGTCCGTACCTTAAACTTTAAATCTATCTAGAGCTTACTGACTGGGGATCACTATTCAGCAATGTTATTAATTGGCTGGGGCGTCTGGGGTTAAACATATTTTTGTAGGTAAATAATATTGCTTTTGAACTTTTTTTTCATGAGAGTGTAATAGAGTATTACTTTCTGTTGAGTGGAATTGTGAAATAGAAGTCAATACGTGGTTCTTGTTCAATCCTTTGTCGCTTTGAAAGAGTCATGCTTGTCATCCTCCGCTGTAAGCAATGTGTTACTGTAATTTAAATTTCAAAATCACTGAGTGACGTTTTTTTCGACGTACTGATCAACTCCACCGTAGCGAATCACATGACTTTGACATAATCAATAATATATTACAGTAAATACGAGCGAAAAATATCTTTATAAGTAAAGAATTGTCGCATAAAAATTAAATACACGGCCGGGTAATGGCAAAGTTCACGAAGTCTAGTCTGATTAATCATTTTACAAAAAAAAAAAAAAAAAGTTCATGCAAAGGGGGGGCGTACGCCCTCTACGCCCCCCTCTGGATCCGCCACTGCCATATCTGGTACCCAGACCGGAGTTTAAACTAGAATTGGTACTTTGGGGGCCTCGGTTGGTCAAAATGATCACCGACTTAGACCTGTAGATCAATCTGCAGATATTCTTCGTGTTGTCTGTTCCAGCCGTCAAACTGCTTAACTTCCTGGGTTACCGATTAATACACATTTGATTTTAACAGGCCATATGTAACAAAAGCAGATTGTCAATGGGATAGATGAATTATGTATTATTTTTATTGTAGATGTCAACGGTCAAGTGACGATCTAGACCTAAGGGTACAATCTAAATTAATTGCGGAAACTTCCTCGATCTATTCACCCTGGAGAGGTAATTACCAAAACCGATTTTCAGAGACATACTTCAATTGTTTAAGCATACACTTTGTCAAGAAACATGCAGAATGTTTTGATATAATTATGCCTTGTAGTTGTTTATAGATGACAATACAAAAAGAGCAAGGCAAGAGTTGACCAAAAAATCACCCAGAACTTTAAAATGGTGCAAAACCTTCTCAGTTGTACTGTAGAAATTAAAGATTTTCCAAATAGTTAGACGAGCAATCAATACCTCATCAATAATGCTAAGGAGACCTATATATGTGTGTCAATTCTCAATCTTCCAGATTAAGTTAATTATTTTAGCTATGCATCCTTAAGCTAGCATGAACAATAAAGTTTGTTTTCCACTTTGCATTAATTAAGCTAGACAATCAGATGATCTTGGGAATAGTTAAGAAAACATATTACCAAATGTTTTCTCTGTCATTCGAGTCTGGCTTATGTCTATATATTTGCGTTTCCCATTTAGGAATCTGTAAGATATGACTGGGTGCAAATCCTGATTTGTCTTACCTAATTCACAAGCCATGAATCAATTTTATGTTGAAAGTCAGAAAATGGTTTTTCCACAGGTATCACATACATTTTACATTAAAATAAGATCAAGGTCAGATGAACCCTGCCAGGCTGACATGGAAACATTACAATCATTTCATACAAAAATATTGTTATCCTATTGCTTATAGTATCTGAGAAACAGACCTAAATACGCTTACACTAGGTTGACCATTGAACCATGAAAATGAGGTCAAGGTCAGATTAACCATACAAGATGGATATGTACACCTTACAATCATCCTATTCACCAAATACAGCTGACCATTTGCTTATAGTATCGGAGAAAAAGAAAAAAATAACCATGAAACTTAGCGTTGATCACTTCTCCATAAAATGTTGTGAAAGGTTAGATGAACCGTGGCAGACATTCTTGAATACCTTGTTTAATACTACTTACCAAAACCCTTTTCGTTTTTTTCTGTCCTTTTGGGGATTTTTTGTAAAACATCATAAAAAAGCATACAATTTACCACAAATTTGTATCTAATGAGCTAACATTTTGCAGGATTTTGTATCTGGTGAGTTTAAGATTTCCCACAGATTTATATATCTGTTTACCGAAAAGTATGATGATAAGTAATATTAAACATTCAGCAATAAACTTCAGGAGCTCATCAGGAAGCATCTGCCTTATACTAAAAAGCAGTGGACTGTTCTCACAAATTAACATTTCCTGTTCCCCCATTTTTTTACCACATGTATCACATAAAGTTAACATTATCAATGAACCATGAAAATAGGATCAAGGTCAGATGAACCCTGTCAGGCTGACATGTACACCTTACAATCATTTCATACAAAAATATTGTTTACCTATTGCTTATAGCATCTGAGAAACGGACCTATTTACCCTTACATTAGGTTGACCAATGAACCATGAAAATGAGGTCAAGGTCGGATGAACCATACAAGATGGACATGTACACCTTACAATCATATTCACAAAAGACAGCTGACCATTTGCTTATAGAATCTGAGAAACAGAAATAACCACAAAAATTTTACATTGATCACTTCTTCACAAAATGATGCCAAGATCAGATGAACCCTGGCAGACATTCTTGTATACCTTGTATATTACCAATTACCAAATATACTTGGCTTATAACTCATTTAACCCAAGAAAAAAATATAGTTTTTTACACAATCTATGAACTATGAAAATAATGTCAAGGACAACTGACATGTAAGACAGGCACTTCATAACATTATGCATCTATACAAGATATGAGGTATGCAGGTCTTCTACCTTCTGAAATATAAAGCTTTATATCACTACATGTACTTGTTGTTGCAGCTGTCAGATTATCATCACTATTTCTTGCATTCTGAGACATTAATCCCAGGTGAGACAAAAACCATTAACATATTCAAACAACACAACACACCATAACATATCAATCTGAAAATATGATTTAACCAAAAACAACCAAAATTTCAAACAATGCACCATAACAATCTTAAATGAAAATAAAATTGGTCTAATATTAACATAAACTGTTGACACAGAGAAGTGTCTTGTCTTAATGTAATAGACTATTTTCATATGTTGACTTTTGACTCTAGGGTATATCATTTTTCAAAGTTACAAAGTCAATAGACCATGACTGAGGGGTGTGGTCAAATAACCTCTGTGGAAATGAGATTTGCAAATTCTAAATATATAAGTGCAACTTTTAGTTAGTTTAATCATATCTAAACATAACTTTCTAACTACTGTATCAGGTGTGTAATAATAACTTTCAAAGCAGTAAATTTTAAAGGCATTAATTACATTTAATTTCATTCTGACCATGTTTCAGGTCAATTTCATATACCATAAATGTTTCCAAAAGAGGCAACAGTAGTTTACCAATGTTCGAAACTCAAAAGTCTATTTTGAATATACAAACCAAGACATCAAAACTTTCATCATTACCCTCAAAAGTGTCAAAGATGATTTACCTAGAGCTTTCGTGTTATTTAGATAATAGACATGAACATATTTGCCAAGAAAATCACAATTCTCTTTGAGAATAAATTAAAACCACAGGAGTGTAAATTGTCTTGCTATTATTAAAGCTTTTAAAAACAAAATGATCATTTCACAAAAGACTCTGAATTTTGTATACTGTGAAAGTACTTTTATTCGTGGGGTACCAATTTTCGTTGTTTTAGTGGATGGCTTTATCCACGAGTTTAAGTGTCCAACGAAATCAAGACATGGAAAGATCCCAATTACTGTAGGTTTGATCTGGGACATAATATATTATGTATATATAGTCCCAGGTTTGATTACATAGATATGGGCATATGATCTAGAGAATACATTTGAATATCAGCAAACACACTATGAACTATATATACAACCTCAGGCATGATTTTACCCATTTAATCTTTAAAAAGCCTGTATGACTTTTAACCATTTGATTCTCATGAAAAATTTGTTTTGATCGATAAAAGTCAGACTTCCGGTGATGAAATGCGATGATGAAGGGTTCATTTTATCTCCTCATAATTCTCATACGACAAAATAATCATATTTGGCTTCCTTTTTTATTTCATTAGAATTAATTATACAATTCAAAGTACATTTGTAGCAATGTTGTATGTAACCGTTTTCTTTAAATGACATGTTTATGGCCCAATTAACACCTTTGGTGAACGTTAATCTGTTGATCAATCAATCTTGGGTTAATGAATTAGTGTCATCACTTCTGATTACACTATGCCACTATTAAAATGTTTACTTTGCAATTTCCTTCAATCGAGGTGATTTGTAAGGATAGATTAATCAGCTTATTTCCGAGAGCAATTATTTTATTAAAAGTTGATGTATGTTGTCAGTAATGAAAGACGAACAAGTAATTGAAAATGAACACCTTATTTTGCAATGTTCAACAAATTATCATAAAATAATATATGATTATTTTCATGAGTATTCATTTCAGATGGCATCAAATTCTTCACCACATTTTTTTTCTTATGAAAAAAATAAAATCCACGAATTTAAGAACCCACGAATATGTAAATTTTGCTCAAACCACGAAAATTGATACCCACGAATAAAAGTACTTTCACAGTAGTTATTGTCTACCTCAACAGAATTTGCAGTATGTGAAAAGCACAAATAAGAACTTGCTACATCTGAAATACTAACAAGGTAGTATAGTAAATAATTTTATTTTTTCTTATTTTTCCATAAATACTGATATTTGTTCATACTAAAGTCATCTTCATTCCCATCATCTTTCACTTCTATTTTCCTTATCTTTGTCCTTCTTTTCAGTCTCTTTTTCTTTTCTTCTTCAGACAATGTTTCCAGATCTAATGGCAACTGTAAATAACCATCAGAACAATGATAAAATTGAGAATGGAAATGGGGAATGTGTCAAAGAGACAACAACCCGAATAAAGAGCAGAAAACAGCCAAAGGCCACCAATTGGTCTTCAACACAGCGGGAAAATCCTGCACCCGGAGGCAGTTCACAATAGTATCATTAATTATATCAAACCTTTATATATCCACAGTAGTTCAAAATAATTTTAACACAACTATAACCTTAAAATAAGGCATTAAGACTTGTCAGTCAGTTAATCTTTAGTTATTACATGCATAGTTTTGAATGACAAGTCTGTTTCTAAAAACCTAAGAAGAAATAGTACAATAGAATTCATTTCTGTGGTATAATTGTATACTGACTATATATTTTACAATTGAGCAACTTTTTTAAGTTTATAATGTCAAGGATTATATGCAAATATTCAAGGTCGTCTAGGTCTTTGTTTACATATATTTGTTTTAAAAAATGCAGCACACATACTGAAGAGACCTTATTAAAGGAGATATATTAAAACTGGCATTATATTTTATATTTCCCCTCAGGGGACTTCATGAATCAAAACTTGGTGGCTGTGGCCTACATTATCCAGACTAACAGAGTTACTTGACAATCTATCAATATTTACTGAACTCTATTATGATGATGGTCATTGTTAAATTTCATTTCTTTATAATAAAAAATTCTTTCAAAAATAGGTTCAAGATTGATGAACTTGTGTTTTCTGAGAAACAAAATGATTATTCATAATTTTGTAAGACTTCTCAAAATTTTAAATGATAAAACTTTATCAATGTTTTCTTAAAATGAATAACAACATAACAATTATCGTAATAATGTAAAAAAACTATTCATGTCTTTGTGTAGTTTTATCAGTAGTAACTTATCATTATAAACAATAAACGAATACTTTCTTTGATAATATGCCTGTAATTGTCCTTAATTTATTGTTATTGTCTACCCTGTCTCATCAGTTTAAATAAAATTTTCTTCATTTCTACCACTGATTTTTAATCTTTCTTTAAATAAACTGTTAACACAGAGATATGTCTCACCTATTTGTTATTTGGATAATGCAAATGTTGAAATTAAAATAGCAATACTTTAACATACAAGTTATGGAAATATTCAAAGTCAATGAACCATGACTGAAGGTACAGGGCTAAACAATCATCATGGAAATGAGATGCGCCAATGCTAATACAACTGCATACCAAAGACCATCTAATCACAAACTAATACATGTAAACTAAGCAAAAGTTTCAAAGTCAATAGACCATGACTGAGGGGTAAGGACCAAATATTATCCATGGAAATGAGATGTGCCAATGCTTATACAACTGCATACCAAATATCATTGACCTACCATTAGTGGTTCACCATAAACTAGACCTAATCACAAACTAATACATGTAAACTAAGCAAAGTTTCAAAGTCAATAGCCATGACTGAGGGGGCAGGGCAAAATAATCTCCATGGTAATGAGATGTGCCAATGCTAATACAACTGCATACCAAATATCATTGACCTACCACTAGTGATTCACCATAAACTAGACCTTTAAACTAGCATTCTGAGAGTATTGCATGGCAATACATAGTCCCCTACCGGGTAAAAATTCATTACACTGGAACAAAATGCTAACTGGTTATATAACTTGCCATGGTGTGGAAAACTGATTATATGAGTGAATTTTTCAAGTCCAAGGACCATAACTCTGCACAAAATTATTAGACCGAAACAAAAATTTGAACTTGATCTGTAACTTGTCATGATAAAACTATATACCAATTATCAATCAATATCGTATAAGCATGATGAAAAAAATATTAGATATGATTAATAGTTCTCTAAAATTGGATATGATGTAATACAATGTATATCTATTTTCAAATTATAATCAAATATAATTAATAGTTCCAAATATTTTTTCTTTCATTTGTCACAAACTAATATAGATTTGTAACTTATCTATAAAATGTCAACAACTTTTATCTACACAATGTAATGTATTGAAATATATACATAATAAAAATAGATTATTATCTAATTAAAGGATTTCTCTTCATAATTTTTTTTTATATATATAGCATTCAGAAAATTAGTTTATACTAAATAACTAACAAACCTGCCAAAAAATTCTTCAAATAATTGAACAAAGAATGTCTTTTAAAAAATTAGTTATCTCCCTTTCTACAGAAATATGGTTTAACATAGTACTCTAACATTAGATATGGTCCAGAGTTATGGTCAATAACTCTGGATTAAATCATCAGACAGGAACAAAATTTGAACTTGATCTATAACTTGTCATGATAAAACTATATACCAAATATCAAATCAATATCTTCAAGAACGAAGAAAAAAAGTGTGGAAAGCTGATTTGCCGGACTGACAGAAGGACAGACAGACGGACAGAAAGACGGAGTGCAAACCTAAAGTCCCCTTCGACTTCGTCGGTAGGGGACTAATTATAAACTAATACATTGTTGACGCCGCCGACGCCGGAAACAGCATACCTATGTATCGCTTTTTGACTCCGTCAAGGCGAGACAAAAACTAGAGAATCTATAAATTTGTTATTTCCTAATTGTAAGTAACAATACAAATGATTGAAAATGTAGTGAATAATTTGGTTTTTGTTGTAACTATGAGTGATATTATAACAGGTCTGTTAGGGTTGAAATAGCCAACTGGAATAACCATTGCTTGAAAATCACCTCCACATAAATAGAATGGTTTCTTGCTTAATGCAAAATGAGTATAATTCACATGTACACGTATACCTAACAACAAATTATTTTCATTTACCTGTGTTTAAAGTTATTGCAAATGGCTGATATTTTTGTTCGAGCATATTGTTTTTCTTTAATTGTTTAACATTTCATACCGATATAACATGTTACTTTTAATATTCTTCCCTTAGTTTATCTATTTTGTATTTACATTGTATCATAGGTCAAATTTATTTGTTCAGTGTATGTTCAATAGTGTTAATATGTCCTTTGATTGAGTTAAGCTATTTCAGTTGATATTTTATAGTGTGTCTTTCTATGTTGTGATATTACACTATTGTTTCAGAAAAAGGGTGAAGGTTTGGTACCATTAAAACGTTTAAACCCACTGCATTTGTTTGCACCTGTCCTAAGTCAGGAATCTGATGTTCAGTAGTTGTCGTTTGTTGATGTGGTTCATAAGTGTTTCTCGCTTCTCGTTTTTTATATAGATTAGACCGTTGGTTTTCCCGTTTGAATGGTTTTGCACTGGTAATTTTTGGGGCCCTTTATAGCTTACTGTTCGGTATGAGCCAAGGCTCCGTGTTGAAGACCGTACTGTGACCTATAATGGTTTACTTTATAAATTTTGACTTGGATGGAGAGTTGTCTCATTGGCACTCATACCACATCTTCTTATATCTATATACATGCATTGTTACAATTATTTGATTTTCACAATCATCATATCATTGGCAAATATGTGACAGAAATTACCTTTATTATTCTTCTAGGTTCATGATATCTGATATTAATTGTTGCTCCATCTGGTAATACTAAAGTGGTAGGATACATTTGTCTAAAGATAGATCTCTTCACACGACATACAGATGTTCTATTGGAATTCTGACGACTTGAGATCATTACAGTCTGTAGTGGTAAGTTGAAGAAGGAACATTTTTGACAAAGGGATAATGTGTTCCTGGAAATAAAAGACATTATAATACTTCATTCTTGTGTGCAGAAATTAAGGGGATAAAAAATAAAGTTGTAAGTTAAATAAAAGATTGAATAATGAATGTAAGAGTGAAAAATTTTACTTAAGCATAAGTAGTGCATTTCTATCTATATACCCCAAAAATTGCAAATAAAACTTCATATAACTTGCATATAACTTAGGTTATATGTCTTGATGTTTCAATGTCTCAACCCTATTGAGAGAAAGTTTCAGATTATAGTAATCTTCATCTGACTCTCAAAATTTCTTGTGACATCATCTCCTCCTTTATTTTCGGTTCAGAATTTTATGATGGAAAGATTGCAAACCAAATGTAAATTCTGAAAACCATGTTAGATTTTTTAATTAGGGTCACAACTTAAATTGCATGTCTCCAATAACAACCTTAAATCAAAAACTATAGGATATTTTTATTATACCGAAAGAAGCATATTATTAAATGGCAGAAGGGTTGAATTGGGTCATTTATCATCCACTACTAAACTTCTGGAATTCATTAGGTAACACCTGCCTCATACTACAACAGTGGACAGTGCTCACAAACTGATATATCCTGCTCCCCAATTTGAATAAATATGGCGAACAATGTCCTGCCTAGCCCAAAATATAGGGCACAGCTCTCTCTCGTCCCTTTTGTGCACCCTTGTCCTTTCTTTTCACACCTAGACATTTTTCTTTTCTGAAGGAGAAAAATGCTGTTCTATGCCAAAATAAACTGTTGATGCAGAGATATGTCTGACCTGTCAACAGAAAATTCAGAAAAAAACAATCCGATGGACAGAACATTGCTTATTAATTCAAAGTTTCTGGAGTGGACCATGACTTAGAGAGCAGCACTTCAAAATGGTCGTCAAAAGAGATGTACTGATAGTTGACTTAATGACAGTCAGTGTTGTCTTCGGGCCAAGTCAACGCAAATAGACCTGAGCTATTTATAAATACAAAACTCACTCTAATCTAACACTAACCATACCTAATCCTAACTCAAGACCTTACCCTAAAACCTAAAACTACCCTAGATCTATTTATCTATCTATCTATACTATTGATCTGCAGTGGAAATCCATAATGCAGATACTGCTGTGCAAACATCAACCTGCATGTTCAGTATTTACACGTGCAATTAACATTAGATCTAACCCTTATCTAATCCTAACTATAAATAAACCCAAACCCTAAAATACTGGGACCCCTATTGGAAAAATATCCTTGGCTCAACTGCTTTCTGACCTATATGGACCATAAAATGCTAGACAAAATTTGTTTCTGAGAAAAGAAAGAATATTAAAAAAATTTGAAAGACTTTCATAAGCAAAAATCTTGTGTGAATATGGGACAATAGGATTATTTGTAACTTGGAATCTATCCAAAGAAGGGCCACTAAACTTGTTAAGGATATAAATCATTTAAGTTATGAGGATAGATTACGTTCATTGGGATTGCCAACATTGGAATATCGTCGAGACAGAAACGACACGATTCAAGTCTACAAAGCATTACATGGTATTGATGATATCAACTGGATGAATCTATTTACTTTAGCACCATCTAATACAACTAGAGATCACTCTTTAAAACTATTTAAGGAACAGTGTAAGACAACACATAGACTAAATACTTTTTCAATTAGAGTAGTGGATCAGTGGAATAACCTGTCAGATTTAACAGTGACGGCAAAGACTTTGAATAATTTTAAGTCTGCGTTAAATGGCGAAAACTGAAACCAGGATAAATTTATAAGTTGGTGTTAATTGTTAATCCAGGATATTCCACACTCCGGCTTTCCCGTAATCGGAAGAAGAAGAAGAAGTAGCTACGCACACCTATATAAGTTTTTATTTTTCAATAAGTATAATAAGAACATTTGTTGTTCGACCTGTTAGTCAAATGCATTTTGTTAAAATATACTTTCTCACTTTTTTGGTCTTTTGGAAAATGTTGTTTGTGCTGTATTTAGACCCCTCTACCAAGAAATTTGTTTTGCATGCACACGTATAAAAATTGCGGTTTTTATCCAACGCAATCATAGGTTTGAACGTTGTTTTCAATTTAGACTTGTTTATATTTTTTCGTTTGGGCTTGTATTATATTTGCCTTCGGGTTTATATAATCCATTCATCCTATTTCGACTCTTCAAAATTCAAGAGCCATTCCTAAATTGAGGAAAATTATATGGTCTTCCAAATACCGTTTCAATTCCTAACATCACTGAAGAGACATTAATTGTCGAAATCCGGATATGGTGTATAAATTTTTGCACCTCATGTTTGCGGTATACCATCTTTTCCCGCAAGTTTATTGTTTTCTGTTTGGTATTTAATTAATACTTAAGATCCATTTTGTTACATCTGGTGATCCGTTTATTTGGCAATAGCCATGGCAGTCAGCAGGGTTTAAGAACATCCGTTGTTCGACTTGCTAGTCAAATGCGTTTTGTTAAAATATACTTTTTCACTTTTTTGGTCTTTTGGAAAATGTTGTTTGTGCTGTATTTAGACCCCTCTAACAAGAAATTTGTTTTGCATGCACGCATATAAAAATTGCGGTTTTTATCCAATGCAATCATAGGTTTGAACGTTGTTTTCAATTAAGACTTGTTTATATTTTTTCGTTTGGGCTTGTATTATATTTGCCTTCGGGTTTATATAATCCATTCATCCTATTTCGACTCTTCAAAATTCAAGAGCCATTCCTAAATTGAGGAAAATTATATGGCCTTCCAAATACCGTTTCAATTCCAAACATCACTGAAGAGACATTAATTGTCGAAATCTGGATATGGTGTATAAATTTTTGCACCTCATGTTGTCGGTATACCATCTTTTCCGCAAGTTTATTGCTTTCTGTTTGGTATTTAATTAATACTTAAGATCCATTTTGTTACATCTGGTGATCTGTTTATTTGGCATTCGCCATGGCAGTCAGCAGGGTTTAAGAACATCCGTTGTTTGACCTGCTAGACAAATGCGTTTTGTTAAAATATACTTTTGCACTTTTTTACGCGTGCATGCAATACAAATTTCTTGGTACAGGGGTCTAAATACAGCACAAACAACATTTTCCAAAAGACCAAAAAAGTGAAAAAGTATATTTTAACAAAACGCATTTGACTAGCAAGTCGAACAACGGATGTTCTTAAACCCTGCTGACTGCCATTGGCGATTGCCAAATAAACTAATCACCAGATGTAACAAAATGGATCTTATTAATTAGTTTAATACCAAACAGAAAACAATAAACTTGCGGAAAAGATGGTATACCGCAAACAAGAGGTGCAAAAATAAGTACACCATATCCGGATTTCGACAATTAATGTCTCTTCAGTGATGTTAGGAATCGAAACGATATATAATTCGTCTAAATAACAGCCCAACAATGTTAGATCTGTAATTTGCAGAAGCAAATTTTTGTTCTTCCCTGGCCAGGATTCGAACTCATGCTACTGAGATATTGTGGCACCAAATCGCCTTGCACTGTGCTCGGCACGCAAGACCACTCGACCACCTAGGCTCGATAAAATCAAACTTTCGGTGGCCGGGTGATACCTTTCTATATATATACAAGTCTAAATTGAAAACAACGTTCAAACCTATGATTGCGTTTGATAAAAACCGCAATTTTTATACGTGTGCATGCAAAACAAATTTCTTGGTAGAGGGGTCTAAATACAGCACAAACAACATTTTCCAAAAGACCAAAAAAGTGAGAAAGTATAGTTAAACAATATAGGGATATATTATGAGATGAGAAATTTCATTACGACATTCCAAGATGAGGGGTCAGTAGAGCCATGGCTTAATTAAGGACCCAAAGATAAAGGTATAAAGGAATTAACAGATGAAAAAGTTTGTTGTCATTTCACCTCAGTAAGGCAGCCATGTTTGTATTTTCTCTACTTCCGGTATCATATCATTGCAAAAAAATCGTTATATGCTCAAATTAGTGTACATATTCTTATCTAGTTATGATAGAACTGTTTTTTTTAAATAAGTATCATACCGAAAGAGAAAAATAATAATTTATATTGAGAATATTTGGCTTATATCATGTACAAAAAATGCATTGTCATGTGACAAGTCATGTGTGTTTACATCCACCATGTGAAAATGTGACAGTTATTTTCATTTTTGTAAGAAGTTTGAACACATTACGATGGCTATATTTTCAGTAACCATTGTGTGCTTTGTCACTTTTATAGTTAGAGGTAAATTGTATACATAATTTAGGTTCCAATATATTTTTGGGTGTGTCGTTATATGGTCGTTATTATAGTTATACTGTGTTTTTGTGAAAGAAAAAAACCAATTCCTATCAAAAAGTTATTTTTACGGGAAAAATGTCTGTGCAACCGCAGGGTCAGATGAGTTGAACAGTTCTCCCTTTTCATAACACGGTTGCAGGGTCAGATGAGTTGAACAGTTCTCCCCTTTCAAAACACTTTTATTTCTAGGATTATATACAAAGCAACTGAAAGAGAAACAAACTATAAAATATCTTATTTCAAAACTTGGATTTCATTTTATTAATCTAAATTCTTTTAATATTAAGATTTTTTGTAAACTTATTGTAGAGACAATCAAAGATGCAGTCTTTCAAAGGGAAGAGACTGATACCAATCAAAATTAAAAATTAAACTTTTTTAATATACTACATTGTATATAAACCAAATATAAGATCCTCATATGTTGATCAATGCAAAATCCAAATGTGATAGATCAACATAATGTAAGTTAAGGATAAGTGCTCATACTTTATCAGTTGAAAGAGGGTGACATTTAAATATGTGGAAGCAGAGTAGGATATGTCTATGCTGCAACAATGGAGACATTGAAGATGAACAACATTTTCTTTTAAAATGTTCTACCTCTAAAATAATTGAGAGATAACCACATACAAAAATTAAATAATGTTCTATTCAACAACAAATTACAAAATTTATCATATAACTTGCTTATATCAATTCTAAATAGTAATTCTCCAACAGTATAAAAAATTGTTGTAAATTACTTGAATGAATGCTTGTTGGTAAGAAACTCATTGTCAAAAGATACTTGATTTTTATTATCATTTTTTTCTCATACTTATCCACTGTCACTCCTTCATTGTACATATGTTATTGTAGTTTGTCTGTATTTTGTTGCCATAACCATTTATTGTTAATGTGTTAGTGCTAATAAAGTTATTGTATCTGTCTGTATCAACAATAGTTAAGTTGCATTATGAAATAAGAATTGATGATGGTTTTGTTTTGATAGTTCATACAGGTACTAATTGTAAGTTTTGTGTATACAGTGAAATATAATTTATACCAGATTATAAAAAGTATGTATTGATATACAATTTTCACTGGGAAAGTAGGAATTAGATAACCATCTTCTAAACTGTAAGTCAATTTAGAAAATGGATATCCAAAGCCACTAGCAATATTTGAAAACACCAGCTAGAAAATAAAGAAACAACAGACATGGCTTCCTCCGCCTTTTTTTTAGACTTATACCTCGAATTTGACATAGGTGGTCATCTCAGTACCAGAATCTATAACAAACAAGACAAGTTTAATTTTGAAATTATAAATTTCCAACACCTTAGCAGCAATATACCAACTTCCATGGCATATGGGATATATACATTTCCGAACTCATTCAGTATTCAAGAGCTTGCAGCTGCTACTTTATAAAACGTCACCAGTGTCTGAGCAGAAAGTTGATGAACCAGGGTTATGTCAAAGAACGTCTCATCCTTTTTCTGAAAAAGTTCATCATCAGATACCGAGACCTTGTTGATAAATATTCTGTTTCAACTTCAAAAATAATACATGATGTTGTCTTGAAGAATAGATTCTAGGTACTGACATTGTTTATCATCTTAATTACGCGTTATGGTGTTCTTTTTATTTGTCTTTGTATGTTTTTAAAATTTAGACAAAAACCTTCTGAAAAGTGACGTTTTGTGGCATATTTGATAGATTTTTAAACTTGAATTTGAGCGTCTGTACTGACCACATCAGTTCAAATCTTTTACATAAACTAATTGAATCAACTGAAGTAGACACTGAAGTGTTTAAAAAATATCAAAAATATTCATCATATGTACTTTTTTAGGCCAAAATTTGTCCCTTCAGGACATTCTCCTTTTTATGAGTAAAAGGTAAAGTAATTTGATCATAAGTTTGAATTTGCATTGTGTCTTTTGATAAATGTAGTGTATTTATTTGGAAAAAAAATGTTTGAATATAATGTATGTGTAATGAATTAGACAGTCTGCACATTTGTAACTTATATTCTGAAGATTGAAAATATGCTTATAAAACATTCCATCTTTCAACCCTGACCAATGAAACACCAGGTCCCCTGTGCCTACATCCCTGGGTTGTTCAAGGTATACCGTATGCTGGTGTTGTACAATAAATGTATTTGATGTCTTAAAACACATCTTTGGGGAAATGATTTACTTCTGGTTCTCTACTAACTACTACTATACCAAGTGTGCCATTTTTACCAAAATAGAAAATTTGATAAAACTGAAGAAAGCAATTAAGAAAAAAGTCTGTAAGGGCTAATGTTACCAAACTTTGTATTCATACCTATATTAAAAAAATGTACCAATGAGATCCCCCTTTATAGTAATGGATTGTTTACAACAACTGCCATGATGATCATATTTGTCCATCATGATTTCTAAAATTATGATATACAAATGAAGACGGTTAAGCACAGACATTGATATTTTAATTTAAAGTCTGCTTTGACCAAGTATTAATGTATTATTCTGCTTGTATGTGATTTCAATTCAGAATGAAGGAAAGAAACCTCATGACTATTGTTTACAAATATTTTGCTGAATAGTTGTGCATAGAAGTTAGTTGAAAAAATCCTAGCACCTTGCAGAATCTACATCTTTTCTTAACAGTCATTTGTGAATAGTTTTAACACATTTTATATTGATTATTTGCAATTAGCATTAACAAAACTTTCTATATATGAATTGTAATTTAATGTTTTCATATTTTTACAGGATGTACATGTTTATCAACTTTGACATTCTCCAAGACTGATATAAAATTAGCTGTTGATTCTACAGAGCAATTAACACTCTCTCCACAGTAAGTTAAAATTTGCCATTTGATATTCATGATATTATAACACTCTCTCCACAGTAAGTGAAAACTTGCCATATAATATCATAACACTCTCTCCATAGTATTAAGTGAGAACTTGCCATATAATATTATAACACTCCACAGTAAGTTGAAATTTGCTATTTGATATTATAACACTCTCTCCACAGTAAGTTAAAATTTGCTATTTGATATTATAACACTCTCTCCACAGTAAGTTAAAATTTGCTATTTGATATTATAAAACTCTCTCCACAGTAAGTTAAAATTTGCCATTTGATATTATAACACTCTCTCCACAGTAAATTAAAATTTGCCATTTGATATTATAACACTCTCTCCACGGTAAGTTAAAATTTGCCATTTGATATTATAACACTCACTCCATAGTAAGTGAAAACTTGCCATATGATATGAGCTGCGTCGGATAAAAATTTACCTTATGCAAATGAATATCAATACATCTGTTAAGTCATTTCGGTTTGAAATAATTTCTATGAGAAATCTAGAACTGTTTGAAAATTGAGTTGTTATAAGAACCCTACAAAACAGACCAAAATTCATCTTTTATTTTGTATTTGAATGTACCAAATCAATCAATGTCTTATACATGTACATGTATACATGCACTTTCATAAGGTCGATTTCTATCCGACACAGCTCATATTATATCACTCTCTCCATAGTAAGTGAAAACTTGCCATATGATATTGTAACACTCTCTCCATAGTAAGGGAAGACTTGTTAATCAACAATATTTGTTGAGTTTGGAGGATTTATATTTCAACAGACAGTCGGTATTCCAATGGGAACTAATTATGCACCCCTACTGGCCGATTTGTTTTTGTACTCGTATGAAGCAGAATTCATTCAGAACCTTCTAAAAGACAAAAAGAAAAAGCACCTTTCGAAATTCTTTAATTTTACTTTCCGATATATTGATGATGTTCTATCATTGAATAACCCATATTTCAGCCAATACTTACATCTCATATATCCCAGTGAACTTGAAATTAAGGATACTACTGATACTAGAAGGACTGCTTCATAACTTGATCTTTTCCTCAATATTGACACAGATGGACGACTTCACAAAAAAATCTATGGACGATTTCAACTTCCCAATTATCAATTTCCCATTTCTCAGCAGTAACATACCCTCTGCCCCTTCGTATGGTGTTTACATATCTCAATTGATATGTTATTCTCGTGCTTGTTCACACTATACGGACTTCATATACAGGAGTGTGCTCCTTACGCAGAAACTGCTCCAACAAAGTTATGAGGAGGACAGATTAAAAATGACACTCCGTAAATTTTACGGACATTATCACGAATTGGTTGATCCATACGTTGTGTCTTTGTCTAAACTAACTAAGGACATTTTTACCACGTGTTAGATTGTGGTTTGTCATTACGACGTCTGATCTTTTAATTACTGAACGTGACTGTTTTGCTGAGTGTGAAACCGCATTGCTATAAGACGTGTCACTGTACTTTTCTATTCCAAATTCATGTATTTAATTTTGATGTTATATTTGTTATTCTCGTCGGATTTTGTCAAATGTCTTACGTCTTTTCTGTTATATTCATGTGTTATGGTAAAGATAATTAATCACCCCCTTCATTTATTAGATTTTAGTTTGGTTCAACGATATATTTGGTTTACAGTTTGATTCAGAAGAAACACTGACATAGCTAGATAATACAATTAATTATCTAATTACTACCACAATTTGATATTAATAGTATTGTAATTTTCATTGTTATTAATAAATGTAATGTCAGTATTACAGATCTAATCTTGAATCAATTCTTATTCAATCTTATTTTTGGGAAATATTTTTACAAATTCAAATGTGACGTCACTTTGTGTGTTTTTTTAGTATTTCAAATGTGACGTCACTTTGTGCGTTGAGGCTTTGGCTAACTCTGCTGTGTATTTTTATGTGTTGGATTAAGTTGTTTTATGTAATGTATCTGTTTTTATTCTGTAGTTAGTCCCCACTTCGGTTTTATCAGGTATATCTATTACATGTATATAGTCATTTTATAAAATTTACTGTTTGCAAAAGTATATATTATTCTAAATAATAAGGATGTTCTTGTCCCAGGCAGAAAACCCTGGCCGTGTTAGGCGCAACTTTTTGGAAGTTTTGGTCCTCGGTGCTCTTCAGCTTTGTACTTGTTTTTGGCTTTCAAACTTTTTTCATCTGAGCGTCACTGGTTAGTCTTGTGTGGACATGACGCACGTCTGGCGTATTAAATTCTAAACCTAGTACCTTTTGTTAGCTATTATTCGTGTGTTTCTTTGTCCTATATGTTCTCCCATTTATTTGTATTGTAGTCATGTCATGTAATGTTGTCATTTTAATGTTATATTTAACATTGCCATAAAAGCGGGAGGTTTGGCATGCCACAAAACCAGGTTCAACCCACCATTTTTTTCTTAAAATGTCCTGTACCAAGTCAGGAAAATGGCCATTGTTATATTATAGTTCGTTTCTGTGTGTTCTTACATTTTAATGTTGTGTTTTTGTTGTGTCGTTGTTCTCCTCTTATATTTTAGTTTGTAACCCGGATTTGTTTTTATCTCTATCGATTTATGAGTTTCGAACAGCGGTATACTACTGTTGCCTTTATTTGCCATATAATATTATTAATCTCTCTCCAAAGTAAGTTAAAACTTGCCATATAATATTATAACACTCTCTCCACAGTAAATTAAAAATATCATAGCCCTGATGTTATAACAAGATTATGTTTCAGTGATGATTCCAGGTTTTATGGAAATTTAATAAATTTAATCCTAGTAAATATTTTTTTACATGTTACTAGTAATACAGTCATCAAATAAAATTACAAGACTAATAATTGAATATGACTAGGATCTCACAGTCATGACAGTTATTTCAGTCATATCATTTCAGGCTAGACGTCCTTATGCAATTTTTGTGGCAGACAATATTAAACAAGGTACCGGTACATTTTATATGAACCAAAGGAAATATTGTCTCCTTATTCTATTTAAGCATATTGACTTATACAAAAGAACTGTGATTGTTTTACCACATACAGTGTGAATGAAAGCACAACTTATGTTCGATGATTTTATAAAATATCTAAATGGAAGGAAATTCACCTGACAATATTTAAACCAATATCATGAATATGTTTAGGTATTTAAAATTGTGTAATTAAAAATTGTATTCTGACTTGGAGTTTCTCTTAAATTTTTAACATCTCAGTGATAAGTTTACAAGCTTTTATACTTCACCAAATTTTTCAATGCATTTTTTATCAATTTTTTATAAGTCTTTTCTCAAAAGTTGTGACGGTAAATATAAAAATAAGGAGTTTGGTATGATTGCCAATTAGACAACTGTCCATCATAGAGCAAAGGACAAATTTGTGAACAATTACAGGTCACCATACAGCCTTAATAAAATAATGATATAATCTCATACTATATGGTAATCTGAAAAGGGCCCTTGGAGGACATATTGGGAAAATCGTTTGGAAAGGGCTTGACGCATCAGATCTTTGCTAAGCACAAACATAGTACTGATAAAAAAGTATGCAAAGTTAACTGAATGCTACATATAGTTCAAAGCCTAATTCAGATAAAAAACAAGCCATGTTTTCCAAGACTTAGAAGGATTACTAGAATCTATATAATATATCCAAACTTTTTTTTACAGACCAACCATCCTTGAAGATGCAACCATTTTATTTATGTATGAAAGCGGTAAAGACAGTTCTTACAAAGAGAAGCATAATTTGATAGTACCAGTACCTAATGTAATTATACATGGAAACACAACACAAGGAGTGAAGGTCAATATAACAGCAGTAACTGCAGGACATCTGACGTTACGAGTCAATTCATCATCATCAGAAATAGAAAAGTATGGATGTTACATATGTATATAAAACACATATTTAAAAGGTCAATTGAGAACTGTTCAAATATTAAAAATGAAAAAAGTAAATAAAACCACATTATAAGCCATTCTAAATGAATTCTTATTTTGAAATAGTTTAAATATATGAAAAGGCTAGTATGTCTTGTCATACTTGTATCCCATATAAAAATTGATTAAATGTATGTACAAAGTACATTTTCCCTCGCTAGTTTTGAATTCATAGTAAAGAAAATTTAAAGAAGGTTTCAACCTGCTTACCATGGTGTAATTAAATAAAGTATCCCTTATATCCTGTTGCATGTATGTAGTCACAAAAATGGCTAACATATCATTTTATTATGCTGATAAAGATGTATGCAGAAATTATTTTTTATATAGATTGTCTTGTATTGCTTTGAATAAGGATTATTTCTAAATAATAACATAAATCAATAAATCACATTGCATCTTGTTTGAAGGAATATTGGAAACAAAAAGATAAAGCAAAGAATTTGATACCAAATATGACAATATTTTATATGTCCTTATATGATCTTATATACAGTAATGGAAAATTTATTTTACATGCACTACAGTTGAAGATATATTTTGTATTACATCAAACGCATTATTGTTCTATTTTATAATAACAGCTTAGAGAAATGCTATGTAAGAATAACATTAGTACATAATAAAGCTCTGATCATTATCAATGCTGTGATTGGATGGATATACTTTGTTGCCTGGTCAGTGTCATTTTATCCACAAGTCATCTACAACTGGAAGAGAAAAAGGTATTATTGTAACTGAATAAGTTCTGTTTGTTCAAGTAACACTGCAAAAGTCTCATCAATTTATTTAATGATTAAATTGCTTATTAACAGCTTGTAGTGAGGCCTCAATTTTATTGGAGTGTTTGGGATATTACAAACATAGTCAAGCAAGTTTGCATATCAAAACAACAGTTATAATTACCTCTGCAATTAACATAAAACTAACTTGACTGGGAGACAATATTTAATTCACAAAGAAAATATAAGTATGCAAAAAGATAGGACCTGTCCAAGTAGTCATGTGATAGTGTACATGTGATCATCTCTGTGTCCAAGTAGTCATATGATAGTGTACATGTGATCATCTCTGTGTCCAAGTAGTCATATGATAGCGTACATGTGATCATCTCTGTGTCCAAGTAGTCATATGATAGTGTACATGTGATCATCTCTGTGTCCAAGTAGTCATATGATAGTGTACATGTGATCATCTCTGTGTCCAAGTAGTCATATGATAGTGTACATGTGATCATCTCTGTGTCCAAGTAGTCATATGATAGTGTACATGTGATCATCTCTGTGTCCAAGTAGTCACATGATAGTGTACATGTGATCATCTCTGTGTCCAAGTAGTCATATGATAGTGTACATGTGATCATCTCTATGTCCAAGTAGTCATATGATAGTGTACATGTGATCATCTCTGTGTCCAAGTAGTCATATGATAGTGTACATGTGATCATCTCTGATTTGGAGGATGATTGGTTTGATCTCCAGCCAGATCTTGATTGGTTTGATCTCCAGCCAGATCATGATTGGTTTGATCTCCAGCCAGATCATGATTGGTTTGATCTCCAGCCAGATCATGATTGGTCTGATCTCCAGCCAGATCTTGATTGGTTTGATCTCCAGCCAGATCATGATTGGTCTGATCTCCAGCCAGATCAAACCAAAGATTTCAAAATTGGTATTTACAGCTTTTCTTTGTTGGTATGTTAAGGGGGAAAATTGATTTTACATCATGTATTTCATTTTTGTATTTTTCAGTGTTGTTGGACTAAACTTTGACTTTTTGGCTTACAACATTACTGGTTTCCTTGCCTATGGATTTTTCAATGTTGGAATGTATTGGGTAGATAGCGTGAAGGTATGGTATATGTCTGTAATATAAATAAGCTTACACAAAAAAATTTAACTACATCAATTACAGAAACAAGTTTTTATACACGCCCTCCAAACAAAGTGGAGGGTTATATAAGATTTTTCTTTCTCTTTCAACCCAATTGTCAGTCTGTACAAATTGGGTTTGACTAAGAGTCTGTACAAATTGGGTTTGACTCAGAAATGGAATTCCTGGACGGTTATTTATTTGTGTTGACCTACAATAGAGAAAGATAGGATGGAAAAAAGGAGAGGGTCATAAACTTTGTCCAGTGTTGCATATCGTATATAAAATTATACAAAGTTGTCTTAGCCCAGAATTTTAAATGATATTGGTTATACTTTGTTCAATTAATCCTACTTTATAAGTGTGGGACCAGAACCAAAGAATAACTGTGGATTCGTTTATTTTTTTTGGATTGATGAAAAATTGTATTTTCAAAGATACTTGATATTGTGGTTTTGCTAAAGTTTGTATACCAGCCTATAGAACCTTTGAAAGTTTAATTTTGTGGTTAACCTATACCCACAAAATCCATGAAAATTAGTATACAAAGAAAATAATGAATCCACTGTATGTTGGAATGTCTATCTTCAAGGTCAAAGTCACTAACTCTGTACATTTAAACATAATACAAATGAAACATATAAAACTATATTATTGCGAGCCCAATGAAAGTTTTCCACAGTGCCATCTCTATCTTGACCAGGTATTTAAACTTTTGTAAGTTCACCTGTCCTATTGAATGAATACAATAGCTATTTTTCTCTGTGTAGTTTATTCACTGGGACCTTTAAATTTCTTCTAAGAGAAATCTATCACTCACTGAGTAAAAAAAAATTCTCATATATAGACAAAAATACTTTTTTTATACTCATTAACTGCATGTGATATGATGTATTTATTCAAAATTAATAATATATTTTCATTCAGTTTAATATAAACATTGATTCAATCATAAAAAGTTGATTTCAAACAAAATTTTTATGAATGTTCCTATTGAAATTTGATTTTTTTTTTTGTCTAGTTATAGAATACATTTAAGAAGATCTTAATTTGAACATCATAATTTTCAAGTTTTTATTCCTGTCAAACAAATTTTTTTTTAAAAGGAACAATGTTGAAAGTTTTGTCAGAAATCAACTTTTTATGATTGAATCAATGTTTATATTAAACTGAATGAAAATATATTATTAATATATTATTAATATAACATAAATCAACGCTAACATGTTTAACCCCGCCACATTCTGTATGTATGTGCCTGTCCCAAGTCAGGAGCCTGTAATTCAGTGGTTGTCGTTTGTTTATGTGTTACATATTTGTTTTTCGTTCATTTTTTGTACATAAATTAGGCCGTTAGTTTTCTCTTTCGAATTGTTTTACATTGTCATACTGGGCCTTTTATAGCGGTATGGGCTTTGCTCATTGTTGAAGGCCGTACGGTGACCTATAGTTGTTAATTTCTGTGTCATTTGGTCTCTTGTGGAGAGTTGTCTCATTGGCAATCATCTTTTTCATATTTTATTAATGTTTCAACTTTGCATCACTGTTTACATTCAACCGATTGAAAATATATTATCAATACTGAATAAATATAACATCACATGCAGTTTTGAGTTATTTTGCTTCATTATAAAGGTGCAATGATGTTCTGTACTTTCTCAGAGGGAGGCTATTTCCAAAGGCATTCTGAAGAATTCAATGGCTAAGGGAAAGAAAACTTGGAAATATGGGTTGCCAACAATGGCTTTTTTTTTGTGGTTTTAGCTTAACTTTTTCAAATGACACATTTAGAAAGGCAAGGGGTGAGAAGCAAGAAAGTTTCCAACATTTTATCTAATATATTTAAAAGTTTTGATGTGAGGGTGGCCATGAAACAGCTATTTTAAAATTTTGGCAGTTTTTTTTTTTACCAAAATGGATATCTATAGACTACTGTAACTGGAGATGTTTTCTTTCAATCTTAGATTTTAAGAAGTAACTCAGGTTACTTCTTAGTACTACTGTGTGTGCAGAAGAAGAAAAAAATGTACCTTGGGGCTTCGTATTGACTTGGATGTAAAGAAATTTATCATGTTTATTATCTAAATTGAAGTTGATATATTATTATTTTATTTTTGTTTACAGAAAGAATATGCAGATGCACATCCAAGGGGAATTAATCCAGTACAGCTAAATGATGTTATATTTACAATACATGCAGTATTTGTCACTATTATTACTATTTTCCAGTGCACAATGTATGAGGTATGTACATTTTTTTCTTTTTGTAAAATGAAATAAAAAACTCAGTCAGTTTTGAAAATGAAAAAAATATTTTCCTGAAAGGCAATTCACAGTTTTTAACAAATTGAGACTATGTTACATTAAAAAAAATGGGTTATTGCCCTCAAAATTCAATTTTAGCCAATTTTAGCATTTTTATCAATTTTCTGTAAAACCAAAATAGTAAATTAGAGGAAGGACTTGCAAGGTTTTAAATTTGACATGCATAATAGAAAAGGAGAAACATACAAAAAGAGCTTTTGGAAATAAAAACCGTGCACACATTTTAGTGTTTTTATTATTCACAATTCTGCTCACTATTTGTGGACTATTTGAAAAAAATAACACTGAAGCATCATAGAGTGTGTGGGGAGGTAGCTAGTATTGAACATAGCAGCAAAGGGGGAAAAGCAATGGACTAAACCATAGGCAATCATTACACATCTTCTTGTTTTTTATATAAGACAAAAGTATATGTTGAATGATCATTATTGAAAGATATTAAAGTCAAAGCTTTTGAATAATAGCATGTTATAATAAAAGAATTGTAACCTTTTCATATCAGTCAATTTATGTTTTATTGACCAATGAAGGTATGTTGACTTCGGACGATTTTAACATAATTATACACGTAAAAGCACGCAACGTTTTGCGCGGTGAATATACTTTTCCGCAGGTGAATATGCCTATTTATTCGAAATCCCATTCATGTAGAAAAACCTACTAAATTTCTATCAATATGGAATATTTTGTATTATCATTCCAGAGAGGTGGACAGAAGCTTTCCAAAGTTTGTTTATTGTTAGTGACAGGATCATGGTTGTTTATACTGGTATCATTATTTGTTACAGTAGCTAAAGTTATAACATGGCTGACATATCTGTACTACTTCTCCTATGTCAAGTTAGGAGTTACACTTATAAAATATGTTCCTCAGGTAAGCCATACCTCTTATATCTTCACTTCTATGTTTGGAATTCACTTGTAGAATAAATACCTCGGGTAGGCATGCCTCATATATGTTTACTATTTCTCCTATTAAATATTTATAGAATAACTGATCTCATAACTAATTCAAGAATTCAAATATATAAAAATATTCAACGAGAGGTATACAACACATTAATTCATGAATGCATGTAGCGCATGAGTATAAAATTATCAGTGTTTGGTCATCACAGGAGTGAAATTTTCAAATTTATTTCACATGTAAATTTATCGGTTTTTATTTCACTGGGAATTCATGGTATATCATTGCAACCAATGTAATATAAGATATGTACCTCAGGTTTATAATTGCTTGATAAAAATTGCATCATATAAATAGAGAGAATCTTAATATACATGTTTGGTAAGAAGCATTTAACAGAATCTTTGCAATAATAAAAGACATATTAACACATTTGGTATTTAGCTGAATTTTGTCTAGGAATGACTTTAGTTCTTTCTCAAAATAACCTTCTGACGTCAAGCAACAATCTCTTTTTAATTATGAAGTCAAATTTTTAAAATTGTGATGCAATATTTTGCTGGAATTTTGTGAATTTATTAATGGTGGACAAATTTGTATAAAAGTGTATATATGTCTATGCATTAGGGTTCCTTAGATGTCCTAGGGACCATGGCAAATATTTTTACACAACCAGGCATAACCTTTTCTTGTCATGAGCCTGCATAAGTTAACATTATAACCTACAAGAAAAACCTTACCTTTAAATTGTAGTTCCTTTGTCAACTTTGTTTTAAACGATTCCATATTTCAGTTGACAGAAATTGTTCACAAAATGAATACATCTTTTTATCCTTGGCTTAGATTATTTCTCGGATTTCGATTGGCTAATAACATGTCATTAAAAAACTCATAGTCCCTGGTGTTGCTAACCCATATATCTGGGCATTGATACCCATTACTCCAGGGGAACTTCAGGCTTGTTTTCCAGGTTATTTCCGTGGTTGTTCCAAGTGAAAAATTAAATTCTGTAAATTATTCATTATGTCTGTAATTAAATATGTAATTCACTAATGATTTTATCTTATTATGCCAATCATTGGCATTCATTTCAGTAAATGCATCCCTTGGCTACTACGTCGTCAATGAATGAAACTACTGATTTAGTTATGCAAATGACCCACATTGACATCACATCATCTATGAGGCTACGCTCTCACCATTGAGCGCCAAATTTGATTTATTTTAGTTTCTCTGTTTTTCTGGATTAAAAATGTCTTATATTTTGCTACCTGTAGGGTTGAATCTACCAAAGGTAGTTCTAGTGTCCTACAACCTGTAAAAAAATATGTCAAATTTCAAAATTTCAATAAAACGTTTTTAGATAATAAAAGAAACGTAGCTTTCATGTTACACATTGTTCCCAAATTCGTTCGCCTCAGGGTGTACTGGGGTACTTCAGGGTGTTAAAATACCTATATCTTCAGATATGAAAGTAGATAACTTATATTGTAAACTGAACTGCATAATTTTGTTCAGGTTTCATATAAGATGCCAAGGATGTTGGTTATTCAAAAAGCTTCAGTATGGAGGAAAGTGCTGAATAAGTTGATAAGAATCATTTATCTAGCTATATGATATCAAACACACAAAAAGCAAGCAACTAACTGTTTGATTTACAATGTAATTGATTCAGGTGGATAACTTTTTGGGTATTGCATATCAAATAAGAAGTTCAATACATTAATGATTTGTACTTAATCTTATTTTTTTAAATAGGCATATATGAATTTCAAAAGAAAAAGCACAGAAGGTTGGAGTATTGGAAATGTTATATTAGATTTTACTGGTGGATCATTTAGTTTGTTACAGATGTTTCTATTGGCTTACAATAGTGGTAAGTTTATTTTTATACCCCTGCTCCTGAGAAAAGAGGTATACTTGTTTACGTCTGTCCATCCATCCATACTCCATCTGTGTGTCCATTCATCTGTACTCAGATACTACAAATCAGTGCTTCCTTTTAATTTTAATCAAGCGTCATGTGAGCATGCTTTACAGTGTGATGCCTTTCCACATGCATAGCTCATCAATTCCTATAACAAATATTTTTTTATATATTCTTACACATATTTATTAAATATAATGATTATGGCTATGTATTTAAAAATTTTAGTCACATTTTTTGCAGTAACTATGAACTATGAGTATGAATAAGGTCTTCCTGAAATTTAGTATGAAGCTTCTTGTGAGCATGTTACACCGTGTGATACATTTTCTCTCCCATTTCTAATAAACTTCCTGCACATGGAGCATTTATAGGAGGGTATCATTAGAGATCAATAGCTCTCTCTACATCTTCTTGAATTCTGAAAATGTACTTAACATTTAACAATCTAAGATAGTTCAGGTTTGTTTCCAAAATATCTGAAACTTTGTTAATTAGACAGCAATCATTAGTAGGAATATGAATATTACCTGGCACTTTTCCTAGAAGTAACTTGATCTTTTTTATAGGAATGAAAGCATACATTTAAAGTTGTGGTCAAAACTTCAACTTAGCCATGTACATGTGCCTATGTACAAAAATGTTTCAGCTCTCTAACTGTTAGCCCCTTGAATTTGGAGATAAATAAGTGGTGCATTAGAAAATTTTGCAGTTCATGGTTATAAGTTATGTTTAAATCAATTAACTTAACTTGTTTACCCAAGTGGCGCCCTCTGTACTGGCTCTCCATCACTATCCTCTAGTTGATAATTTAGATCTAACTTTAATCAGTTGTACTTGATTGATAGTAACTTTTTACATTTACCAAGTACTTGTAGTAAAAATAGTTCTTTATTTTTCTGACAAGGGCCATACATTTTATGTTAGGAATTGTTACCAAATCACATTATTTAGTGTACAATGCTGTCTCATTGACATAAATCCCACATCTTCTTTTATTTATACCAATATAAAAATAAGAAGATGAGGTATGATTGCCATTGAGACAACTCTTCACCAGAGATCAAATGACATAGAAGTGAACAACTTGAATTGTATGTTTATGATGTCCCTACCATAATGAAAAATACTTTCATATTAGAATAAACTGTGGATTCATTATTGGATACTCATTGTTGTGGGGGTAAAGGTTAACCATGAAGTTAATTGTTCAACAAAATAAAATTTCTATAGTCTTGTTACAGATTATGTTAAAACACAAAACCAAGTATCCACAAATATAAAAATATTTCCTAAATCCATGAATATTGACACCGACAAATATAAAAATATATCCTCAATCCATGAATATTGACACCAACAAATATAAAAATATAACCTCAATCCATGAATATTGACACCGACAAATATAAAAATATAACCTCAATCCATGAATATTGGTTCCCACAAATATAAAAATATTTCCTCAATCCATGAATATTGGTTCCCACAAATATAAAAATATTTCCTAAATCCATGAATATTGGTTCCCACAAATATAAAAATATTTCCTAAATCCATGAATATTGGTTCCCACAAATATAAAAATATTTCCTAAATCCATGAATATTGGTTCCCACAAATATAAAAATATTTCCTCAATCCATGAATATTGGTTCCCACAAATATAAAAATATTTCCTCAATCCATGAATATTGGTTCCCACAAATATAAAAATATTTCCTCAATCCATGAATATTGGTACCCACAAATATAAAAATATTTCCTCAATCCATGAATATTGGTACCCACAAATATAAATGAATCCACAGTATGAAGAATATTGAACATCACTGTAATATAACAAATAAGATGTAAAAATAAATATTCTGGTGAAAAAAATACATGTATGTATATGTGCCATTTCTGAAAATTGTGAGAGCAACTAAATGCTTACTGAAGTTATTTAATGAACTTTAACCTAGCATTTTGATCTTTTTAATGTCCATGTGGTAACAGATGGGACAGATTTCTTATCAGTAGAAGTAACATGTTAGTAACCAAAATACAATTAAAATGCTTCTATTTGTCTATTTTTTCAGATGACTGGTCTTCTATATTTGGAGATCCAACGAAGTTTGGTCTTGGATTCTTTTCCATTTTATTTGACATATTATTTATTATCCAACATTATGTGCTATACAGAGGAAGAACACCACTCTATACAATAATACCAGACACAACTGAATATATTGAAAAGCCTGTCAATACACCTACTATTGTGTCAACAGGATAACATCTATATGTGAAATCAATATTTTTTTTAAGATATGGTACATGTGTTTAGATTTTTTTGAATATTTCTATTTTTTTTTATATGTAAAACAATTTTAGCATTCATAATCTTGGTTTGAATACTCAGTGAGAATAAATTTCAGTCATACGGAAAAGAAGGTTAAGTTTGATGAAACTGAAAATAAAACGATAGGAGGCTTTTTGTTTACCCATTATTGAACTAAAATACAACTAGTACATAAAAAAGAGTGTGAGTATCAGAGGAACAAAAAAAATGGAATCTCCACATTCTTCACTGGTGAGGTTGTTTTTTAAGCCATTTTTTTGCAGTTTTATTGAAAATCAGTTGCATTATATGTTGGATGAAGTTTAAAGTATTTGAAGAACTTTTACATATGTAATTGAGTAAGTTTTGTGCATCAGTTTACTTTATATTGATTATTATTGTCATTCAAACATCATATTTTTGAAAAATCCAGTTTAAACTTAACTGAAGTACACAAAAAAATTCTGACTTCTTATGCATATTACAGATGTATTGACACTGACTCTGTTTATTTTACTGCACTAAAAGTTATATTGAAAAAAGTGATAAATGGCTAATTAGCCATTAGAAAAATCTTGATTATTTTAAGTATTCAACTAAAGAAAATTGAACAGTTTAGAATACTATTAAATATGTGTAGGATTCTGAACTGCGATGGTCAAGCTGAGGTGTGTTTTTGATCACGCTGAAGTGTGATGGTGGCATTGTGATGCTATCTTGTTGATAGCTACGCCTAAGTGCGATGGTGGTTACGCTGAAGTGCGATGGATTACATAAATCAAATTTTCAAAGTTTTTCCTGTTTACATTTTGATGTGGAAGTCAATTTCTTTCTTAGAAGGAGCTTTTTGGTTTTTTTTATGTAAATCATCGAGAGTATGACCCGTTTTATATAAAACAGTCAAGATAAATAGTCATTGCAGTTAAGTCCTCACTGTAACGTTGTAGTGTACACTTTGTGAATAGCTTTAATAAACATCTGTCGTTCATACAATCGTTCAGAAATTGATGCTACATACAAAAACTATTTTTCTTTAAAAGCAGTGCTAATTACAATGACTGAAAAACATGTGGTAGTTGTTTGAAATGCAAATACTTCTTGGTTAGTCAGAACGATACAAAATAAGAGAAAAATGAATACTGCTGCTGTGAATAAGAACAAGGAATAAGATAGATCACCGGTATGTTATACTGCAACTGGAGAAAATATTGAATGTTTGGTATTGATATACTAACTTATAATATAATCAAGCTCTCATGATAATTGAACATCAATTTTAACCTAGCCATCAAGCCCCTTATAGACCATCGCACATCAGTGAAAAGACCATCGCACTTCGGTGAAGACCATTGCACATCAGCAAATGGACCATCGCACTTCGGCGAAGACCATCCCACATCAGCGAAAGGACCATTGCAATTCGGCGAAGACCATCGCACATCAGCGAAAGGACCATTGCACTTCAGCGAAGACCATTACACTTCAGCGTGACCATCGCACTTCCGAGTCCTACATATGTAGAATACAAATCAGAGAGATAAGGGCAATAACATCCTGTGCAACAAGACTTTTAATTATTGCTACAGAGAAAGAGAGGAACTTTGAAACTAATTGAATATTGAAATGTGAAGAAAATATAAATTGTCAGAATGCAAAATCACTGAAAAATGAAATAAAATGAATACCAGTCAAGTAAAGTTACGTTACACAAGATCCAAACAGACTTCCTTGCTTGTATTCTTTTATTCTCATTATATGCAGCTTTTTCATAATTCATGCATTCACATTTACATCTGAGTTCTCCCCCTGCTATTTGGTGGGTTTTGTGTTGATTAATCTTTATAAATTTCTGTGGACTATTGTTTATCTTTTCATCCTATTTTTGGGACCATGGTGTTGTCTGATTTTCTTTTACTAATGGTTAATGATAAAACTAGGTGGCAGTGGTATCAATATTCTGCAAACCATCAAATGAGGAAAGTGCTAGCATGTTTACAGGACGGTGTGTAACAGAATTGTGAATATGTTTATATATGTAGTAATTACAGCTCATACTTCATTATTTGTATTCAGGTCTAAAAGGTTCTGTTATTTTCTGTTTACAGTGATCAATTAATATGGTTGTCATTATTTCTTGTTGATAAATTGTTGTTGTATAACTTTTGATAAATAATATATTATTGTCATAAATTTGTTTAGATAAATAGATATTTTTACTTCATTTTGTATGTGTCATGCTACTATTGAACATACATAATATTAGTCAACAATATTTCTTAGGGTAATTGCAGTACAAAGTACCTTTTAAATTAGATGTGTTTACACTCATATGGGAAAGGGTGCTCTCAGACTCGCCTCATCGTCAAAATCATTTTTGAGAAGACCCCTCAAACGAATTATTTCCAAGATGAGGAGCATGCGCTAAAAATTGCACACTGTTAGTTAAAGGGCAGAGCCACCTTAAGGTACTACTGATGAAGAAGGGCTCTCCATCCTCTCATTAACTTAGCAAGAAACTGCTGGCCCAACAGGGGCGGATCCAGCCATTTTTAAAAGGGGGGTTCCCAACCCAGGAGAAAGAGGGGTTCCAACTCTATGTCCCCATTCAAATGCATTGATCGTCCAAAAAAAAGGGGGGGGGGGTTCCAACCCCCGGAATCCTCCCCTGGATCCGCCACTGCCCAACCTGATCCCTGAGGCATCTATTTTAAACCAATTTTTTATGTCCAATGGCCGTAACTTCAGCAAAAGTCATTCAACTGTAAGAAAACTAAAACTTCTGCAACTTAGTATGACTTTTTAAAGAAAATGATAATCAATAGATTAAGGCAGTACGGAAAATAGTGTGAATACAGATTTTCAAGCAATTTTCTGTTACCATAGGTCTAAAGGGGTAAATCAGTGGCAGATCCAGAACTTTTCATAAGGGTGGGGTGCCCGCTCCAGTCATGCTTCAGTGATTCCCTATATAATCAACCAAATTTTTCCCACAAAAGGGGGGCCTGGGCCCCCCATGGCCCTCCCCTGGATCCGCCTATGTAAATTCAGTAAAAAACTCCCATTGACTTTAATGCAAATCTTTTTCTTGAATTAAATTTATACCAGATTTACCTTTATAAATCAGAAGCTTTCATATATCATTCATTAAAGTACAAATGTAGCCCCATCTTTTGCAACAATAAAAACATAGGGTTATGCGGCATTTTTTGGCATTCACATGTCCTTGTTTACAAACACTGTAGATTCGCACTTAATTCCTATACTGACCCCCATTACTTTTCAACCCTGTAGTAAAAAAATTAAGTGCATTCAGTATTCATTCTTTTATTTTTTTCAACTATAGTTTTGATCCGTCTATCAAAAAAAAAAATTACAAACATTATCTACCAATCAGAAGAGCACAGGACTTCAGTGTTATACAGAAAGCTCTCCCCCAAATGGGCGGTCCCTGATGACGTATATTTATTTACTGAATTTACCCCTAAACAGAATGAGACAAACTTGATCTGTAACTTTTTATGATATTACTGGATAGCAAATATCATATCAATTGCCTCATGCCTTACAGAAAAAAACTGCAGAAACTTAAGATTTTCAAGCATTTTGCTATTTCCAGCAAAAAATTCACCTACAGGAACAAAATTCAAACTTGATCTGTAACTTCTTATGATAGGACTATTAACCTTATAACTGTTCATTGCTTAAAAGCATTAAGTGTGTAAACAATTTTTCAAATCTTTTTATTTCTTTGCATCAAACATCTAACATACTTTTGAGGTCAAGAACTGTGTACTGAGTTATGTAATGAAGTGTCCAGTAAATTATGTAAGACAAAGGTAGGTTGTTTTATTTGGTCAATTAAGATTGGCATTAAACAGGAGAGGATTCCAATAAAAGCTCAACCTTTGCCTGTTTGTTGATTATGACAGTTGTCAATCATATTAGTATTGTATCAGTACTCTTAACTTTTAATAATGATAACAAGTTCATAGGATCTCTTCAAAACAGACATGCATCCCTTACAATCATTCCATACACCAAATATAGTTGGCCTACTGCTTGTAGTATCCTACAGACCAATAGATTGATACATAATCATGAGGTCAAGGTCAGATGAAACCTGCCAGACAATTTTGAACACAGTCACCATACAAATCATCTTACACACTAAAATAAAGTTGACCAATTGCTTCTAGTTTTTGAAAAAATGGACCAAACCACAAAACCTTAACATTGACAAATGAACAGAGAAAATGAGGTTAAGCCAGATGATACCTGCCTGACAAACATGCACACCTTACAATCATTCCAAATACAAAATATAGTAGACCTACTGCTCCTAGTATATGAGAAAGGGACACAATCACTTTACTTGAACCTTGATCACTGATCCATGATATAAGGTTGAGGTCAGGTGAACCCTATCTGGCAGACATGTAGACCTTGCAAGGATCCCCTATACCAAATATTATTATCCTGTTACCTGTAATAAGTGAGAAATTCACATGACAAAAAAACGAGTTTTTTAAGCAGTAGATGAACAACGAAAATGAGGTCAGGTACAATGGACATATGACAGGACACTTCACAACATAAGGCATCAATATACAAGGTATGAAGCATCAAGGTCTGCTTCCTTTTGAAATATAAAGCTTTATACAAATAGTTAATGCAGCCAACCTCCAATTAGCATCCCTATGTTATCCATTCTGTGACTTTCATGGAAGGCAAGACGAAAATGACCAAACTAGCTAGCAAATGACAAAACTAATGAAATACATACTTCAATAAGATGTTCTAAAAGATTTAACCAAAATTGTTGAGTTCATTCATGCATATTTACATAGACCTGAAAGTATAAGGAACTATATTTCAGAGTGTATAGATCAAGTGGTTAACATGGCTACATCTGCCGCTATAATTAAGAGAATTAAATCTCCTGGCTTGGCTGGTTGAAGAGGTTGATGCCTTGGAACAATAATTCCAATCTTTTCAAATAAGTGTGGAAAAATTACCTCTCGGACGGACAGAGTGCAAAGCTATAATCCCCTTCTTTGCTAGTATACATTTTTGTTCATTGGAGTCTAAACATGTTTTCTTAATGGAAGAGCATGTTCAGAAGTCAAGGTATAATCAGTGTGTGTAATGACAACAGCAGTCTGGTGACAAAATATGTAAGAGACTGATAAGCATTTACATTACCAATTTTCCCAGGAAGCCATGTGCTCAATACTACATGTGACACATTTAGTGTTGTCATTGGGTAATTTAAGATGTTCCTCACCACACAACATTATGGTTTTCCTCTACTGGAGTTGGTGCCCTGACCAAACTCATATGCCAGCTTGATTAGAAAAAGACATTGATTTTGGAACATTTGGTGTAGAAAATTTGAGAAGACATGTTTCAATTAGATGATTTCATTATTAAATTTTAAAAACAAAAGTGCACACACTGTAATGTCTCCCTTCTTTACTTAATGTGATTAAGTCTGTATGATGAAGGTTTACTACAAGTATCACAAAAACTTAACATTATTCATGAAAATGAGGTCAGGGCCAGATCCAGTCAGAGACCAGACAAACAAATATATACACCAAATATAGTTGACCTATTGCTAAAACTGAACATTGATCAATGAGCCATAAAAATGAGATCAAGTTAAGATGAACTCTGCTAGACAATATGTTCACCATGCAATCATTCCACACACCAAATATTGTTGACCTATTGCTTATAGTAATTGATAAATTGACAAAACCACAAAAGCTCAACATGGACCAATTAACCATGAAAATGAAGTCAAGGTCAGATCAAACCTGCCAGACAGACATGTTCATCTTACAATCATACCATACACCAAATACAGCTGATCAATTGCTTATAGTATCTAAGATACAGATTTGACCAGGAAAACTTAACCTTGATTACTGATCCATGAAATAAGGTGGAGGTTAGGTGAACCCTGTCTGACACACATGTAGACCTTGCAAGGATCCCATATACCAAATATAGTTATCCTTTTACTCATAAGCGAGTATTTCACATGACAAAAAAAAATATATAACATTTTCACCATATCACTGAGCCATGAAAATGAGGTCAAGGACAATAAACATATGACAGACTGAAACTTCATAACACAAGGCATCTACTTACAAGGTATTATTGATTGATTGTTGGTTGCTTAACGTCCTACAATGTATGAAGCATCTAGGATATTCTACCTTCTGATATATAAAGCCTAATACAAATAAATTATGACACCACAATCAGATTTTAATCCTTTTTCATGCGTTCTGAGACTTCTGACACAAGAGACAAAAACACTTTACTCTTACTGAACATATGATAAGAAAGCTTTTACATTTAGACACACTCAAGATGTCCCAATCTCTATCTCAGGTAATGCCTTTACTAAAGTGAAGTGCAGTATGAAGCATCTAGGTCTTCTACTCTCTGAAATATAAAGCTTTATTCAATAAAATGCTCTGCTGGGGCGCAGCTTGATACGACCGCAGAGGTCGAACCCTGAACAGTTGGGGCAAGTATGGACACAACATTCAAGCTTGATACAGCACTGAATTTGGATTGTAATTAAATATTTGACTCAGCATAGGTTTCTCACAGAATGAAAGTGGTCTAAGAACTTAAAAAATTTTAATTTACCTATTCAAACCATATCATTATTATTTGCTTTTATATATAAATCAGAAATAACCAATTTAAAATGGAAAATTTTAAAGAAAATAAAATGCTTCGCTGGGGCGCAGCTTGATACGACCGCAGAGGTCGAACCCTGAACAGTTGGGGCAAGTATGGACACAACATTCAAGCTTGATACAGCTCTGAATTTGGATTGTTATTAAATATTTGACACAGCATAGGTTTCTGACACAGAAAGAATGTGGTCTAAGAACTTGATTTTTTTTAATTTACCTATTATGGTCCAATGTCCAAAATCAAAATACATGGTTAGATTCAGCATATCAAAGAACCCCATATTTTCAATTTTTGTTGAAATCAAACAAAGTTTAATTTTGGACCCCAACTTGGACAAACTTGAAAACTGGGCCCATAATCAAAAATCTATACACATGTTTAGATTCAGCATATCAAAGAACCCCAATAATTCAATTTTTGCTTAAATCAAACTAAGTTTAATTTTGGACCCTTCGGACCTTAATGTAGACCAATTTAAAAACCGGGACTTAAAATTAAAAATCTAAATACACGGTTAGATTTGGAATATCAAAGAACCCCAATAATTCAATTTTTGATGAAATCAAACAAAGTTTAATTTTGGACCCTTTTGACCTCAATATGAACCAATTTGATAGCGGGGCCCACAAATAAAAAATCTAAATTCATGGTTAGATTCAGCATATCAAAGAACCCCATATATTCAATTTTTGTTGAAATCAAACAAAGTTTAATTTTGGACCCCAACTTGGACCAACTTGAAAACTGGGCCCATAATCAAAAATCTAAACACATGTTTAGATTTAGCATATCAAAGAACCCTAAGAATTCAATTTTTGTTAAAATCAAACTAAGTTTAATTTTGGACCCTTTGGAACTCAATGAAGACCAATTTTAAAAAATGGGACCCAAATTAAAAATCTAAAAACACGGTTAGATTTGGCATATCAAAGAACCCCAATAATTCAATTTTTGATGAAATCAAACAAAGTTTAATTTTAGACCCTTTTGACCTCAATATGAACCAATTTGATAGCGGGGCCCACAAATAAAAAATCTAAATACATGGTTAGATTCAGCATATCAAAGAACCTCATATATTCAATTTTTGTTGAAATCAAACAAAGTTTAATTTTGGACCCCAATTTGGACCAACTTGAAAACTGGGCCCATAATCAAAAATCTAAATACATGTTTAGATTCAGCATATCAAAGAACCCCATATATTCAATTTTTGTTGAAATCAAACAAAGTTTAAATACTGGACCCTATCTTGGACCAACTTGAAAACTGGGCCCATAATCAAAAATCTAAACACATGTTTAGATTCAGCATATCAAAGAACCCCAAGAATTCAATTTTTGTTAAAATCAAACTAAGTTTAATTTTGGACCCTTTGGACCTTAATGTAGACCAATTTAAAAAACAGGACCCAAAATTAAAAATCTAAATACACGGTTAGATTTGGAATATCAAAGAACCCCAATAATTCAATTTTAGATGAAATCAAACAAAGTTTAATTTTGGACCCTTTTGACCTCAATATGAACCAATTTGATAACGGGGTCCACAAATGAAAAAATCTAAATACATGGTTAGATTCAGCATATCAAAGAACCCCATATATTCAATTTTTGTTGAAATCAAACAAAGTTTAATTTTGGACCCCAATTTGGACCAACTTGAAAACTGGGCCAAAAATCAAAATTCTAAATACATGTTTAGATTCAGCATATCAAAGAACCTCATATATTCAATTTTTGCTAAAATCAAACAAAGTTTAATTTTGGACCCTTTGGACCTTAATGTAGACCAATTTGAAAACTGGACCCAAAATTAAAAATCTAAATACACTGTAAGATTCGGCATAACAAATAAATAAATGTGATCAAAGATTTTACAGATCTAATGCGCCATACTGTGCAATTAAAGATTACTTCTTGAAATTTTTCAATATTTGAAATTTGAAAAAAAAATAATATTTGAAGAATAATTCTTTTTAATTTCTGAAATCTGAAATGAGAAAAAATTGACCCCCCACAATTTCTTTTTATCCCCCCCCCCCCCCCCCCTCTTTTTTCCCCAAAAAAATTCTTTCCCTCAAGATATGGTCATAATCTCAATTCAAATTTCCAATGGAGTTGGCAACCATAATTACCCATTTAAATTTACCATAGTGCTAACTTAATCTATTTTATAATAGAATTAAAAATATAGTGTCAAATCTTTCATATGAATTTTTTTGTAAAAAAAAAAGATGCAACATTTGAAGATATTTTTACTGCTCTTCCTTTATAAATATGTATTTCTTTAATTACATAATTTAAAAGCAGTGTAAGGGAAGTAACCAAAACGTTGTATTTGGATTACCTCCCTTACACTGTTTTAAATTATCTTTATTGTTCATTAACCATTACTTTATACATAATTTAAAAGCAGTGTAAGGGAGATAATTTCAATGATGTATTTGATTTATCTCCCTTACACTGCTTTAAATCATGTTTTGTACTAAAGTATTTGTCCATTAACCAGGACAACCTTGTTTTTCCCCCTTTTTTGCCCCTAATTCCTAAACGGTTTGAGCCATAAACCCCCAAAGCAAATCCTAACCATCCCTTTGTGGTATGGAAACTTGTAGTATAATTTCAGAGAGATCCATACACCGTTCCACAGTTATTGTCTGGAAACTAGAAAATGCTTATTTTTGGCCCCTAATTCCTTAACTGTTGGTACCATAACCCCCAAAATCAATCCCAACCTTCCTTTTGTGGTATTTAACCTTATGGTCAAATTTCAAAAAGATCCATTCACTTAAACTAAAGTTAGAGTGCGAAAACCAATGTGTCTTCGGACGACGACGCCAACGTCATACCAATATACGACCACAAAATTTTTTTACGGTCGTATAAAAAACTCCCCCCAATTTTTTGAACCCCCTTATGATTCATCACCCCCAAACTCAATCCCAGCTTTCCCTTTGTGGTATGGTACCTTGCAGTACAATTTCAGAGAGATCCATACACTTGAACACAAGTTATTGTCTGGAAACTAGAAAAATGCTTGTTTTTTGGCCCCTTTATGGCCCCAAATTCCTTAGCATTTAGGGCAATTACCACCAAACTCAAACCCAGCTTTCCCTTTGTGATATGGAACCTTGCAGTACAATTTCATAAAGATCCATACATTTGAACACAAGTTATTGTCTGGAAACTAGAAAAATGCTTATTTTTGGCCCCTTTTTGGCCCTAAACTTTTTGGGAAATTACCCCCAAACTCAATTCCAGCTTTCCCTTTGTGATATGGAACCTTGTAGTACAATTTCATAAAGATCCATACACTTACACACAAGTTATTTTCATGAAACTAGAAAAATGCTTGTTTTTTGCCCTTTTATGGCCCCTTATTACTAAAATTTTGAGGGAATTACCCCCAAAATCAATCCCAGCCTTCCCTTTGTGGTATGGTACCTTGCAGTACAATTTCAGAGAGATCCATACATTTGAACACAAGTTATTGTCTGGAAACTAGAAAAATGCTTATTTTTGGCCCCTTATTCCTAAACTTTTTGGGCAATTACCCCCAAACTCAATTCCAGCTTTCCCTTTGTGATATGGAACCTTGTAGTACAATTTCATAAAGATCCATACACTTACACACAAGTTATTGTCATGAAACTAGAAAAATGCTTGTTTTTTTGGCCCCTAATTCCTACAATTTGGAGGCAATTACCCCCAAAATCAATCCCAGCATTCCCTTTGTGATATGGAACCTTGTGATACAATGTCAGAGAGATCCATACACTTACACACAAGTTATTGTCATGAAACTAGAAAAATGCTTGTTTTTTGCCCCTTTTTGGCCCCTAATTCCTAAAATTTGGAGGCAATTACCCCCAAAATCAATCCCAGCATTCCCTTTGCGATATGGAACCTTGTGGTACAATGTCAGAGAGATCCATACACCGTTCCACAAGTTATGTCTGGAAGTTAAAAAAATGCTTATTTTTGGCCCCTTTTTCCTTAACTGTGGGTACCATAACCCCCAAAATCAATCCCCACCTTCCTTTGTGGTATTGAACCTTATGGTAAAATTTCATTGAGATCCATTCACTTAAACTAAAGTTAGAGTGCGAAAACTAATGTGTCTTCGGACGACGACGACGATGCCAATGTCATACCAATATACGACCACAAAATTTTTTTTTGCGGTCGTATAAAAATCCCTGGCACTTGTGCTGTGGCTGAAATTCTCACGAAAGGTGTCATGGTTAAGGTCACTGCATACAAAAAAGATTTCAGAAAATAGAGTATGGGAAGACAATAATTCAACAGCAGTACATTTCAAAGATTCGGATAAGAAAAAGGGATTTTCTTTTAAAGGAAAGACTATGTACACATGTTTTATAGTAAAACTTAGCCATAAAACATGTTCAACATTTATTATATGACCAAGTGAAATACAGATTAAACAAGACCAAGACCACTTCAGGTTATTTATACATGTACCACAAATGTTGCATAGATTGTGTGGTTTGACAAGGATGTAGTTTCAAAGGAAAAGTTATTTATTAGTTCTGATGGCCATGATGACTGATATAATTTTATGTACTATTAATCGAAATAATGTAAAATGTGTTTATTTTTTGTCTCAGAGAGTGCTTGTGTAAAATGAATGCAACAAAAGACAGTGATGCCAGTACCTCAAGCCTTGCTTCCCATTTTAGTTGAAACCTATTTCTTTTTCTTTTTTTAACTAAATCAAAGATAGTGAAGGGTTAACATTTCCTATTGTCTGACTACAATATATCTGGTTTCTGTAACTACTGGAAAGCTACGTAGTAGATTTATCTGTTTTTAGTGTGTGATGTTATCGTTCATTGCATATTTGTTTTCTATAATGAAGGTCCACAATGGCAAAAGTTTTGGATCAAACAGTAAAAGAGGCATTTCCTATTGTCTGACTACAATATATCTGGTTTCTGTAACTACTGGAAAGCTACAGATTTATCTGTTTGTAGTGTGTGATGTTATCGTTCATTGCATATTTGTTTTCTATAATGAAGGTCCACAATGGCAAAAGTTTTGGATCAAACAGTAAAAGAGGCAATAAAATTCTTTTATCAGTAACCTTTATTCTGAATGACATTTTTTTATGTTTAATTATCCAAAATAAAATTTTTCATCTGTTTGCAAAATGTGACAGCAGTCTTTTTTATGGCCACCTTATGAACACAATGTGCCAAAAAAAATAATAAATTACACAATAAATAATAGCAAATTTCTGCTTGGCTACTATTTACAATTGTATTGTACATTAATAATGATATAAATAATGTTATCTAAGGCAAACATACACAGAAAATAAGAACAATTGATAATTAAAAAAAATACATAAAAAAGTAACAATTTTTCTGAAAATAAGAATATGAAGAATTCTGGTAAAATGTCAAAAATGTTTTTAAAATGATAATCTTAATTATATATGATAATACTGTTATTTATTTTAAGAATCAGTTGGTAGTTGTATACTTTGAAAAAAAACCTGCAACATTATTTCTTTGCTATAAAACAGCATATTTAAGTTTTCATAAATATAAACAACTAGAGGCTCTAAAGAGCCTGTGTCGCTCACCTTGGTCTATGTGAATATTAAACAAAGGACGCAGATGGATTCATGACAAAATTGTGTTTTGGTGATGGTGATGTGTTTGTACATCTTAATTTACTGAACATTTTTCCTGCTTACAATTATCTCTATCTATAATTAACTTGGCCCAGTAGTTTCAGAGGAGAAGATTTTTGTAAAAGATTACTAAGATTTACGAAAAAATGGTTAAAAATTGACTATAAAGGGCAATAACTCCTAAAGGGGTCAACTGACAATTTCGGTCATGTTGACTTATTTGTAGATCTTACTTTGCCGACATTTATTGTTTTTTACAGTTTATCTCTATCTATAATAATATTCAAGATAATAACCAAAAACAGCAAAATCACCTTAAAATTACCAATTCAGGGGCAGCAACCCAACAACGGGTTGTCCGATTCATCTGAAAATTTCAGGGCAGATAGATCTTGACCTGATAAACAATTTTACTTCATGTCAGATTTGCTTTAAATGCTTTGGTTTTTGAGTTAAAAGCCAAAAACTGAATTTTACCCCTATGTTCTATTTTTAGCCGTGGCGGCCATCTTGGTTGGTTGACCAGGTCACGCCACACATTTTCAAAACTAGATAACCAAATGATGATTGTGGCCAAGTTTGGTTTAATTTGGCCCAGTTGTTTCAGAGGAGAAGATTTTTGTAAAAGATTACTAAGATTTACGAAAAATGGTTAAAAATTGACTATAAAGGGCAATTACTCCTAAAGGGGTCAACTGACAATTTCGGTTATATTGACTTATTTGTAAATCTTACTTTGCTGAACATTATTGCTGTTTACAGTTTATCTCTATCTATAATAATATTCAAGATAATAACCAAAAACAGCAAAATTTCCTTAAAATTACCAATTCAGGGGCAGCAACCCAATAACGGGTTGTCCGATTCATCTGAAAATTTCAGGGCAGATAGATCTTGACCTGATAAACAATTTTACTTCATGTCAGATTTGCTTTAAATGCTTTGGTTTTTGAGTTAAAAGCCAAAAACTGAATTTTACCCCTATGTTCTATTTTTAGCCGTGGCGGCCATCTTGGTTGGTTGACCAGGTCACGCCACACATTTTTAAAACTAGATAACCAAATGATGATTGTGGCCAAGTTTGGTTTAATTTGGCCACGGAGTTTCAGAGGAGAAGATTTTTGTAAAAGATTACTAAGATTTACGAAAAATTGTTAAAAATTGACTATAAAGGGCAATAACTCCTAAAGGGGTCAACTGACCATTTCAGTCATGTTAACTTATTTGTTAATCTTACTTTGCTGAACATTATTGCTGTTTACAGTTTATCTCTATCTATAATAATATTCAAGATAATAACCAAAAACAGCAAAATTTCCTTAAAATTACCAATTCAGGGGCAGCAACCCAACAACAGGTTGTTCGATTCATCTGAAAATTTCAGGGCAGATAGATCTTGACCTGATAAACAATTTTACTTCAGTCAGATTTGCTCTAAATGCTTTGGTTTTTGAGTTATGAGCCAAAAACTGCATTTTACCCCTATGTTTTATTTTTAGCTGTGGCGGCCATCTTGGTTGGTTGGCCGGGTCACGCCACACATTTTTTAAACTAGATACCCCAATGATGATTGTGGCCAAGTTTGGTTTAATTTGGCCCAGTTGTTTCAGAGGAGAAGATTTTTGTAAAAGATTACTAAGATTTACGAAAAATGGTTAAAAATTGACTATAAAGGGCAATTACTCCTAAAGGGGTCAACTGACCATTTCGGTTATATTGACTTATTTGTGAATCTTACTTTGCTGAACATTATTGCTGTTTACAGTTTATCTCTATCTATAATAATATTCAAGATAATAACCAAAAACAGCAAAATTTCCTTAAAATTACCAATTCAGGGGCAGCAACCCAATAACGGGTTGTCCGATTCATCTGAAAATTTCAGGACAGATAGATCTTGACCTGATGAACAATTTTACCCCATGTCAGATTTGCTCTTAATGCTTTGGTTTTTGAGTTATAAGCTAAAAACTGCATTTTACCCCTATGTTCTATTTTTAGCCGTGGCGGCCATCTTGGTTGGTTGACCGGGTCACGCCACACATTTTTAAAACTAGATACCCCAATGATGATTGTGGCCAAGTTTGGTTAAATTTGGCCCAGTAGTTTCAGAGGAGAAGATTTTTGTAAAAGTTTACGGACGACGGACGACGGACGACGGACGCAGGACGACGGACGACGGACGCAAAGTGATGAGAAAAGCTCACTTGACCTTTCAGGTCAGGTGAGCTAAAAAGCACTGTTGAGAATAAACAGTTGTTTGGTTATGATGTATCAAAAATTATATCACTGCTTGATACTTCTTCTTGAATGGTCAACAAGGTCCATTTGATTAGACAGCATTACCTAGGTACCTAGACACGTATCAGTTATTCATTGAAACTTCTTTAAGTACAGCTAGAGAATGATATAACAAAAACTCCTACAAGTAAAAAGTCTAATGTTTACTTTATTCAGGTCTGTATTAATGTTACACAAGTATTCAACTTGTTTTTATGGTGTACAATCCTAAATCTCTGTTCATAGACTTAAGTGTGCGGCAATGTGTTACAGTTGCTTTTATACAAATTCCATGTTCATGTCTTCATCAAACATGTTTTTATCGTGTAAGTAAATACCAAAAATATGTATAAAATGATTATTTGTTAAAAAAGCACCTTAAATGAAAAAATGAAATGAAAGCAAGTAATGGCCAAATTAAAACGGGCAGTGAAAAATATAAATGTTTAAGTCTGCAATGCATTATGTATGCCATCATTATAAATGTAGATGGCAAGATTAAAAAGTTGAGTATCATCTGAAAATTATGTTTTAATGATTTTTTATTGTCTAAACAATATATGTGTAATATTTCTTTTAGTGGTCAGCAACAGACAATGATTAAGGACAATCTCTATTTATTGTTTGTTCTCGCTCATTGGTTACATCATCTTTCTGGTTTAAACAGGAATATGAAAAAGCTTCAACAACAAATAAAGAAAAAATATGGAAACATTCTACTTGCAGATAGTAGGCATTTAAACCCTGTACGAATTAGAAATATGAGAAACTTTTGAGATTTCATTTTGAAATGGTATATTTTCTGGAATGTGAAGGGGAAAAGTAACTATTTATCTAACAAACAATAAAAATAAAGGGAAATCAAACTAGCTAAATTATTTCAATCATACAAGAATAATTTCATTGTAAAAACCATTGATTTTCATTGTTTAAAAAAAGATAAAATAGTAACACAACAATCTTAATGCTAAGAAAAACACTACTAAAATGTCTGAATATCACAAATCTTATAACACTAGCAACATTGTTTATGCATATGAAAAATTATATACATATGAGATATGATCAAAGATCCTTGTCCTTGATACGACTAGCTTATTCAACTTTCAGTCTTTTGGCACTTGCATCACCAGATCCAACTGCATTGGAAACTGGCATAACAACAATAGTTTTTGCCCCTGGGACAGAATTTTGGGCTGTAGCTGCTCGGACTGTCACTGTTGTAGGATTAGCGGCTGTGGATATCACATTTCCATTGACATTGTGTGAACCTGAATTTGATGTCAGAACCATAAGTGTAGTTGTATGTTCCTGACCAGTATGATCTCTCGTAACTGCTGGTTTACTGGCTGGAGCTTTGTTTATAACAGGTGAAGGCACGGAATCAGATTCTAATGTTCCTAACATAACAGCACTACTAAGGTCAATGAACTGAAATATAAATACATACATTTTATCAAATAGATCCTTCCTTATTTTATAACAGCACTACTAAGGTCAATTAACTGAAGCTTAAAAACGTAAATTTTATCAATAGATCATCCATTATTGTAAAAGTTTCTTTTCCTCATAACTATGACAAAACAAGTCTGATAACTGATGACAAAAACTTTTATAAACAATCTCTATGAGGTGACTTTACATTAAGTGAAATATCACAATTTGTTCTCTTAACTACCTGATTTTTAGCATTATAACTTGTATTTCATTTTTGTTTTCTTGCTGACAAGAGTGTTTTAATCAGCAAGCGTTTAAATATTTACAGACTTTAACCATCTCAAAAATTATCCAATTCCATGAAACTAAGGAAGGACACATCTGTAAAACAGATGAATTTTATAACAAACCTGTCTGACCTCTCCCATAACAGCTATAGGTGTTTCTCCTGTAGCTGCTGCTACTTTATGTTCCACCAAATAAAACATGTACTCATCATACAGTAATCTAATCAGATGGAAGGATCCAAAACTTGCTGCACTACGTAAGGTCAGGTCTCTGATCACCATTGAGCTGATCAAACAAAAAAGTATTCCCATAAAGTTACGTTGATCAAATTCAAGATTCTTACACTGCTGTGCGAGAAATTCTGTACCTGTTCCATTTTTTTAGATATGGTTTACTCAAGAGAAAGTACTTTCTAGGTTATATATCTTACTTTTCAACTGAGAACATATGATGTCATAAATTTCTTATTAAAAGTACATGGTGTGATAAAAGATCAGTATGCTCTAATGTTTTATGATGCTTTTTCCATTGTTAGTTGTGTGGCAGGAATAAATAATGAAGTACATTTTCAGTACATAAAGTAACTTCAAACAGAAATTTTATCAAACTTGTTTTTTTTCTTAATATATATATTAAAGAGTCCTTTTGTTAGTGGATGTGGAAAACTGTAGTTTGTTTGGGCATACATTTTGCAATTATGGTTCATTCAAAAAACTAGTCCCATCCTTCTTGCCAAAATAAATGACAAAATGAAAAGATGAAACCGTGTGCAGAGATAAATTGACTTTGTTTGTTGCTTTACAATTCCCAATTGCAGCAATTTATATAAAAAATTATGCAGAACTGATTGTATTTTTGTCACACTGCTATCATACACTTGAACTGGTTCATGAATTAAAAACAAACTTGACAGAAATATCAAAATAATGTCCAAAGCATGGATTTCTTTTTTACAAGTATTTCTAAATTAGTGCTTAATGTGTTACTCACCTATAGAAGGACCATTTTAACAAAAACTGTCGTGCAGCTTTAGGAAAGTTATCTGTTCCATCATGTGGTTTGAGCACTTTGTTTACAACACTTTCTAACCATACAGCCCACTGTTCTAAAGAGTTTTGTCTTTCTAATGTCTGTTTGAAATCTTCTTGCAACTGTTGAACAACTGTGTCTTCACACTGACATACCCATGATGCTTGCTCCTGTTTTGATAGAACAATACTGAATGTTTACTAGGTTTTGACCAGAAAACATCAATGCTGATAAACTAGGAAATACATTAAAGAAATATTTCAAAAAGTCTTGCAAATTTGTCTTGTCAGAGGAATATACATGGTTTTGGAAGATAGACTGTGATAAACTCTTTATATAAATGTTACTAAAAACTAGTGTTGTCAAATTGAACATTTTTAACTAACCAGTTACTCGGATAATCTTTCGACCGGTTAACCGGTATGAAGTTAATGTTCGAAGAGAATGTAGCCAATGGGTGATTGGGGTAATGAAAAAATGGACATTTTTGGTCTTCTTCTGACCTGTAGTAAAACAGTTTCCACAATGGGGTGTCCTTTTGGCTGTGTGGGATGTATGAATTCGAAGCCATGTCTAGTCAAAATAGGGAAATTAAATCTGATGCCTCGAGTAGAGAAAGTTTCGCGATCATTGCACGTTGATAACCCTTGCCACAACTCTTTGCAGGTGAGTTGGTGGCCTGTTACAAGGCTTAATTTCTGTAACTTTTGAATACCTCCTCGTTTTCCAGTAGCATTCCAAATGTCTTATCCTCCAAACCGGTTGACCTCTATTACAGGACCTGCCTATTGATTAATTGTTAATTTGTTCTAATCCTGAACCTGCATGAAATATTTTCCATATGACGTTACAATCTATCAAGGTGTATGCTTACATAAAATGATGTATTAAAGTTTATCGTCGTATCCTTTTCCTAAAATATTCTATACAGTTCATGTCTGCATAGCACTGGAACTAAGTTTGCATTTCACAATCAGCATTTCGTTTGAAATATGATCAATCTTTGGATGGAGATAATTTGCATTTTTAAATTTACTCAAGATAAAGTTAGAATGAAATAGCCAACTAAATCCTATTATTTGATCAGCTTACAACTGTTCAATGTATGTTTTAACACACCTATACAAATTATGTTTATTTAAGATTTTGTCCCAAGCTGATAGTGTCTTCTTGCTAATTAATTTAGGTAAAATTGAAATGTATTCAATTTTAATTGTCACAAAATGTACTGGATAATCTCCTTAAGTACCATGCTGATTATTGATTTTTTTATGATTTCAATATATATTTATATCCAACTATTAAATTTGATAAATTTGGAGTTTGTAATTTTGTTGAAATTTTCTGACACATCAAAAGATTTCTTATGCTGGTATTTTAAGAATTAAATTTATTTAATTTAAAAGCTATGATAAATGTGGATAAGTGATGGATATTTTGCACAATTATTGATTTTTAAGATTTGAAGTCATGAGGTAAGATTCTGATAAGATATCATAAACACAAGCGTTCTGTGAGTGTTGCATGGCAATACATAGTCCCCTACAGGTTACAAATTCATTGTAATGGAACAAAATTCTAACTTGATCTATAACTTGTCATGGTGTAAGCTACATAAAAATATCAAGTCAAAATCTTCAAGCATAACGAGAAAACTGTTGAAAACTGATTATATATGTGAATTTTCTATGTCAAAAGACCATAACTCTGCACAAATTATCAGACTGGAACAAAATTCCAACTTGATCTGTAACTTGTCATGATAAAACTATATACTAATTATCAAATCAATATTTTCAAGAAGAGTGACAAACAAACCTACCACTAAATTCTTCAAACAATTTACCAAAGAAAAAGGAAAAAAATCCAAATGTCATTTTGTCTTTTAAGTCTTTTGAAAATTGAGTTATTTCCCTTTGAACAGAAATCTTCTAATTAATAAGTATTTCATCAAAAATTTAATTCTAGGGAAAGGGCTTTAACTGAACAAAGAGAAAATCTAAAATCGTGAAAATTGAACTTGACCTGTAACTTGTCATGATAAATCAATAAACCAAATATCAAATCAATATCTTCAAGCACAAGAAAAAAAGTCTGGAAAACTGATTTGCTGGACTGACAGATGGACAGACGGAGTGCAAACCTAAAGTCCCCTTCGACTTCCTCGGTAGGGGACTAATAACAAGTAACAATGGGACATCAATAATTATTGTATATTATAATTATCTCCCCTGAAATTATATAGATTCCCCTTAAACAACAGTGCACAAGAAATATTTGCATCATTTCTGCCTTTCTAGTGCAGTTATTTTACGACAATCATGGCAGTGATTTTGCAAATAAATTAGTAACCTATACACACATGTAATAAAAGTTTGAAATGAACACTTCAATCTAGAATTACAAAGGTAGGATTTTGAAAATTAATTTTTTTTATCAATTATAAAGCAATTCAGGAACTTCATATTTTAAAATTTTTCCAGGAACTTTGATCAACTTACTGACTTATCCAACGAAATGTTATTTTCCCTGAAGCAACAAAAATTAGTACATGTACTACTTAATATCTTAATATTAATTTCAAAATCAATAAAAATGATTTCCCAGTATGCAACATTCTTTTTCTACCTGTGAAAGTACTTACTTGTACATTAGCAAAATCCACTCTATTGAGGTCAGTTAACATTTGGTTTATCTGTGATGTGTTCTGTAAAACTGCCCTAGCTGCCTGTGCCAGATGATTTAATGATGTGTATCTCCTTAATGTTTGGGCAAAAGCACTAACTGCTCCTGCCTGAAATACAAATGTTGGATCTTTAACATTGAGCATTTGCTTTAGTCTTTACAGAATAAAATTTTAGCAGGAGAACCTTTTTAATATGAAGCCTCTTCTACAATCATTTCCAAATATCATTTAAATAAAACAAATTTTTAATGCATACTTGATATATTCAGGAAGTTAAGATTAAAATAGATTATATGACAACTTGCAAGATAGTAAACTTTTGATAACAGTGTGAACAACTTTGAAAGAATTATCCATACCTTTGCTTTGTACATTTTATCAGGAACACCAGTCATTGCACCCTTCAACCAATTTTCTAAACTTTTTGCAAAATTTCTGATGGCTTGAGTAAGAGAACCTGAAAAATCGCACATTTTCATTTCATATCTAAAATTGTAATGAAAATTATTTGAATGCAGTCTATTTATTTGTTAACTGCAGATTTAGTAGTTTTATTCAAAAGTCTTCCTTACTTTCAATAACACTACAGTTATTATTTATTACTGATAATAGGTACCCTCATTAGAGAAAATTCATGTAAATAACAATTTTCTTTTTCCAAGAACATCAAAAGATGTGCTGTACACTAACTTATTTTTGGGATACTTTTTGTATTTAGCACTTTCCAGCTAACTTTGTGTTTATCAATTTTTGCATTTTTCTATGTTTCTTGATGTACTTATATATATATATTCAGGCTATTTTTCCATTCCAATTCCAAAATAAATTGCTTTCTAAAATTAAGTTGGTTTTCTGTAATCTGTCATTATTTCAAAAAGTTAATGCTTATCAACTTTTATAGTCATATAGTTACTTTCAACAGAAAGAAACAAATATATTTTCTCACTAAAAACAAAATACATACTACAGAGAACTTCATTGCAAAAACTTTGGACTTACTTGGTATTGGCCTCAGCACATCAGGTATAAGAACTTCTACTAAGGCTTGATAAAAAGCATAATCTGCCTTTCTAACATATTCTTGAAGTGGTTCATATAAACTAACAGCATATAATTTTTCCCTTGGCAATCTCTTTTCATAATCATTATCTGCTCTGAAATTAAAAGAACATTCTTTTATAAAACATGTAAGTAATGCATAAAACATTCAAACCCATAATGTTAAACCATATAACAAATTTGAACAAATAAAATCAATGTCATACAGTCATGAATAAACTAATTATTAAGTACAAGTTGAAATTTCTCACCTGCTTAGATGATTGAATAACTATGTAATATATTGACAGTCTTTGAGATAAATGGCTTACTATACATTTTCTATATAAAACTCAAGCATAATCAATGAACTGTGAAAATGAGGTCAAAATCAAGTGACAGATATGTACAGACACCTTGAAACCAAACTTTAGCCAAATCAAGTTGAAAATTTTACTCTTAGGTTACAAGTGACTAACATAAGGTTGAAATCTTAATGATTGATCAGTGACATGTACACCTTACAATACTAAATAACAAAATAGGTCAACTGACAATGCATGTGACTTATGCAAGACAAGTAACTTACATTTAATGCATATACAGGGTGAAAGACAACACGTAGATTAACAGTGTAAAATAAACTGTCATAAATCTATTTCTATAATACTTACATCATCTGATCAGGAGGAGTATTTCTCCAAAATCCTTGCCATAAAGCTTCAATCAAAGAAAACTGTAAATTGACCACTACATCCACTATAGCCTATGAAAAAGACAAGTCATGTTGAGATCTTTTATTGTGTTCAGATAGATTCATTCAGAGTTATCATATATAGAATCAAAATTGCTCCCACATAAATATGTTTGTTGAGATTGATATCATTCCAATTTTGTATACAATGAAATTGCATCTTCATGCCATATAAATCATTGAAATAGAAAACCATGAAACCTTAAGAGGACAGTCAGTTCATCAATAACATAAAATCCTAACTGTTTAGACATGAGAATTTCCTTTCTTCATAATCAAATAAACACAGTCACACACAAGAACAGTTGTCCATTAAACACCATGTAACTTTTTTCTGTTAAATAAACCACGAAAAATCAGGGTTCAGACCCTCATTTTACATAAAATTCAAAAAGCTCCTGGCATAATGTTCATGTGTACTAAGTTAGTTGATGTGACCACACCTTCATTGCAAACTACAAAAAATCAAAATTCATAACACCTTTAACCAACATTTTAACCTGATATGAGAGGGTTAGACTCACACACCAGAAAACTCCATGACTATGCCCTCCTACTATCATTGGCAGTGCATGTAAACAGTATTTCATGTGCTAAAACTGTGAGCTACATTCATATTCATTCAAGTCCATTCATGCTGTTGAAATTTCAACTTTCTCCCATTTCATTTTAGACTGTTAACACTTTAAAACTTTGATAAAAGTATTTCAACAAACTACATAGCATGTTCACCTCAGCATGTTCTTTGTGCATTTTTTCAAAGGCTTTGATATGGTCAAGGGTAACACCATCTGGTAAGGGTATTTTTGTTGTGTCTATTGTTCCAAAGTTAGGTAAGGCTCCAGAAGCATCTCCAAGAAACTGTTGGTGTTGTTGCTGTTGAGCTGTTGCAGCATCTACTGGTCCATGTTGGGCACTGTCATAACTGTCTTCATCTGACTTGTTGGGTGGACGGAATCTATAAATAAAGTATTTAAATAAAACACATTAATTCTTAATCCATATCTAATATACAAATTAAGCACATTAAAAGGGATGAGATTAGTTAATACCAACTCAATGGGAAGAAACTACTCTAGTCCATTTAAATAAGACCATTTTAAGATGGCTTTCTGAAATCAATTTGGTTTGAGGAATTCTTATTGGAAATCAATTTAAGAAGACAATAATATATTTCTGCCTGAGGGCCTCATTCTACAATAGTTTCTTCAAACTGTACTAATGGCCCTATGCACAGAATTTGACCTTAAATGTGCACTAAGAGTTAACTATTTGGAAAAAGAACTCATAATTAACCCCTTACACCTCAAAAAAGATACAATAAAATTACTTCTGTTCTTAGCAGCCTTTGAAATAGGTCTGATATATACTTTTGATATGAATTTCATGAAAATTCCTGCAAGAAGTGTAGTTGTGAGAGTGCTTACAATGCAATGTTCAATATAAATTACATTTTAAAGGGACATTGCTCCTGTAAAAAACAATTGATCAGTGCTTAAATTTTTAACTAGTCCCATCCAGTCCTGATATAAACCTTTGATATATAAATTTCATACAATCCTACAAGAAATGTAGGTGTGACAGTGCTTACAATCTTCAACTTTATATTTCTATGTTACCTACACTAAACAATCACTTACTTTTTACCCTGATACATGGGTTGTTGTCTCATGGCCATTGTTTGATCATCTGTAAATTGATTTAGAGGTGAACTGGCCTTTATTCTAATACCATAGTAATGATACTTGGAATTTCCTCTGAAAGACAGAAATTTTAGTTATATGCAAGGTTGAAGTTATAATGACATATTTTCTATACCTTAAATCTGAAACATAAATCTCCATTTTATCTTGAAGTTTACAAATAATCATGCATGTAAAAAAGTTTTAATTTTGCAGAGGTTTACCTTGTTCCCAAACGTCTTGTTCTCAGACCAAGAAACACAGATCTTATCAGTTTACCAAAGGAAGCTGGATTCATTGGGTCTAAATTCTGCTCTTGACAATGACGAAGGTAATGATTATATAATGTACTCCGCGGCAGACTTACACCCTCTGCTGTTTCATAATTGTCTATCAACCACTGAACCTGTAGTAAAGAAAATTGCTATAAATTAGTATAAACAATGTTTACATCAGGCCACAATAAATTAATTCCTAGTTCTTCAGACTCCTATAGTTGATAAACAGAAGCTAGCAACAATATTTTTTAGAACAATTTTAATGCGTAATGAAGAAAATTGATTCTATTTAAGCGAGTGGCAATTGTCTAATAATTTTTTATATAAAATTTGTTCGAGGACATTCTTTAGCTATCAATAAAAGATACTGAGCATCATTTGTGCTTTATATTTCTATTTATCTTACTTAGCCTTAAAGTTATTACACATAGCTTATCAATTCATTTTCTGACACATGCACTTAACAAGGAGTCCACCTCCTTTAATTCTTTGCCAAGAAATCTCCATGCAATCCTTCATTTAAATTGAAAATAAATGGAGAATGTGTCCATGGGACACAGATGATGCCCCTGCTTGCATATAACGTTATAAAGGGACATAAATCAAAAACAGTAAAACGGACGCTACCAAATTCTAACTTGATATGAGTTTTGTGGTAAAAAGCATTGTGTATAAGTTTCATAACAGTTGGTTGAGGCAAACTTAATTTAGAGAACAAACGAAAAATTCTTTCCATTTGTAAAGGGGCATAACTCTAGAACAGTAAAAGAGACGCCATCCAAATTCAAACTTGATCTGTGTGTTGTGGTAATAAGCATTGTTTCATAACATATGGTTGAAGCAAACTAAAGTTAGAGAACGGAAATCAATTTCGGTTCGTACGGACATACAGATGGACAAGGGTAACACACTTAATGCCCCCTCCACTGCGGTAAGGGCATAAAAAGTCAGTGAAAAATTTGCATATAGTACAGCAGCTGTCAACCAGACATCGAACAAATCTTTTTTCTTGCTGACCTTTTTAAACATGCTGCAAATCTGACGAACAAAGTATAAATTTGGTGTGGCCTAACTCTTATTATTTTTAAAAAATTATAAATCATTTAAACTGCCGTAAATTAACACTGAACTGCTAAAACTCTTTTTCTACCTTATATACTTTACTTAATTTACCTCCTGTCACTTAATAAAGTGCTATGCCAAGGTAAATTTTGTATTTATAATAGCAAATTCTAAGACCAATAATTATCATATAAAAACTTTTTTAAACACATCCAATGCTCTTCATCACTTTATCAGATGCATGTACAAACTTTCATTTAAATCATTTACCAACAAATAAATTTAAAGAAATAATTCAAGACATTATTATCCATTAACATAAAGTATCTTCCATTACTACCCTCCTCAGTCATCATTATCAAGCTGCTGACCAAGTATGAAGTCTCTCTGTTCAGTAGTACCCGAGAAAAATGTGACTGAAATAATTGCTGGACAAGAACAGACAAAGTGAATGATAATATAGCACCCACGCCTAGATAACTTCCAGTGTTCAGCCTATATATAAGTTTTTTTTACTATCAGTTAGTATTGAAACAAAAATGGTGCAATGATTTATTAACCTTTTCACTGCAATACATGGCTTTTAGTTGTTAACAACATAAGACAATAAAGGATCATGATAAAAGCATGCAAGTTGACCACTAGAAATTCATTGTCAGATCACTTTAATGTACATAAAATACAGAATGTACATACATACAGGGTAACCTTTTACTTTCATAACATACAAACATTAAAAGCAAAACAACAGTCTATCTAAACAGAACATGCTTTTATTATGAAGTCCTTTACCGTAGCACTTACTGTGGCTGGTGATGCCCTGGTAGTGGTAGTAAGTGGAGTACCTTCTCCATCCATTGTCCCTCCCTGTATCAGGTATGTACCTGTCTGGTGTTGTAATATTTGTCCTTGCATAGTACCCAATTGTGTTAATCCTGTAGCTACCTACATAAATTAATGACAATAAAAGTATGAAAAACAAGATTGCTATGCCGTAGCAAAATGTCCCCTGCCCTGTATAATGAGGAATTCAATCTTGTCACAGTGCGTTATTGTGGTACCAGTCAAAATATGGTACAAGTCCAAAACTCACATTACATATATCAAATCGAAATGACAGTATATTATAGTCAACTTAATATGATGACAAACAATCCTACCAAGTATAAGAGCTTTCCGTCATATGGGTTCAGAGGATTTGCTTTCACAAGGTGACACTATTACAATGATCCAAAAATAGTCAAAGTCCTATAACTCCCATAAAAATGTTTGCATTAAACAGATGATGTGATATGTTCAACAAAACAAGATGGCAACCAACTGTACCAAGTATGAGAGCTTTCTGTACACTGGACTCAGAGTTGTGTTCAAAAGGTCATTGTCACAATACAAAAACTAGATAAAGTGATGCCCCCGCACTCCACTCTGAAGTAACTGTTTTATAACAAAGTCAATGTAGGACTTTCTCTGAGATATTATTGTGTCTGGGAGACACAAATGATGCCCCCGCAGATGCAAAGTGTTATTTTAAAATACACAAAAATGAGCATGGGAGCACATAGGTCTATGGTTCACTGTAAGAGGAGTTATCTGGAAACCCTATGCACCTCTTATGCAAGTATATGTTCCAAAAAATAACAAAGTTCAACTATCTCCTAAAAGAGCAAATATCAATAAAATTCAAAACCCTGACCACATGCACACCTCCAATATATATGTACAAACAGCCACTGAGCCAGAAAAGTGAAAACTTCCTAGCATTCAAACTGTAGGAGGAGTTATCTGGAATAGCTATATACCCATAATGGGAAGGACAGACAGAAGGACTGATTGATTGATTGTTGGTTGCTTAACGTCCAGTGGCAAATATTTCATGCATATTCAGGACGAGAACAAGTTCACAATAAATACAATAGGTAGGATCTGTAATAGATTAAGGGATTAAGGTCGGAGAAATTTAGACTGCCACGGGAAATGAGGGTATATTGGATAGGGACAGAAATTTAGCCTTGTAACAGGTCACCTACGGACCCCTCAGAGAGTTGTTGCAAGGGTTCTTAACGTGCAAAGAGCGTGGCACTCTCTTTACACGAGGCATCGGATTTAATGTCCCCATTCTGACCGGACGTGGCTGCAAATTTGTACATCCCGCACAGCCAAACGGACGCCCCATTTTAGCACGGGTTTTACTGCCGGTCGGAGAAGACCAATGGTGACCATACTTCTATACCCCAGTCACCCTTGGGGTGCAGAAGGACTGAAAGATGGAAAGAAGGAAGGACAGACGGAAGGACGGACGGAAAGATGGAAGGAAGGAAGGACAGACGGACGGACAGGGGTAAAACAATATGCCCCTCAACTTTCAGTTGGGGGGGCATAAAAAAAGTTTAAAGTCCCAAAACTCCTGTAAAAATTGTCTAATCAAACTTATAATATAGCACAGTCAAAACATTATGACAAAAAATAATCCCGTCAAGTATGAAAGCTTTATGTCAAACAGCCGGAGAAGTGATGTGTTTTAGACCGACAAATGTGATGAGCAGGGACAATAAGTACCTCACAAATAATAATGAATTCATATTAGTTTCTGAAATTGCTGTGGATCAATTCAATTCAGTCAAAACATGCCTACGAAAAAGAAATCAAAATTTCACCTCCAAACAATAATTAGCATACTGCAGTAGAGGTATATCAATGAAATAAACAGTTCCCTCCAAACCATACATCAAATCACACAACTTCACCATGTCATCAAGCATGAAATGTAGAATATTATACTGGTGTTCCTGACCAGTGTCCTACCACATAAAAATGACTTGATACGGGATTGATACATCATGATATGTCTCTGAGAAATGGGCAACAACTGTCAGGCAGAGTAATATGTGTCTCATGGAGAGTCAAAATGCATTGAAAGTATAAAGGGAGTTTATAGTGATGAAAAACAATGATAAATTACAATTCTTAAAAGAACCCATCTATAGGCAAATCAAAACAAAGTGGATTTACAGAAAATTCATTGATTCTTGGTGTTTCACGCCTTTCAGCACTCATGGCTATATCATGGCGATCAGGAAGTCAGACCACCAGAGAGATCTGTGGACCTTAGACAAGAAAATTGGCAATCATAGTCAATTAAGACTAATGTTGAACACATCTGCCACGAGGGATATTTAAACTGTCAACCTTGCTGTTGACATTGTAGTGATCACTGTAGATAAACTACTTACACCACTCTGCCACCTAAACCCATAAGCATAAAGAATAAATCTATTTGCCAAGTAGCTAAATAATGTATTATTATTTGATTGGCGTTTTTCTGCAAATGCTGCAATTTTCTTCACCAATAAAATCTACAGATAAGAAATGCACATATAATAATTTCCAAAAATATTTTCTTATTACAATGATATTGTTATTTAAAGTTCACAGTTTTCTTGTGAAAAAATCTTACCTGTGTACCAGAAGCAGTCTGGTAGTAAGTACCAGATACTGGTGTGTACATTGTTTGTCCGTATTCTGTTTGGAAAGTTGTACCCTGCCTAAAATATATCATTTAGAGCATATAATAATTCATGTTCAAAAGTCTGCTAATGACCCTGCTTGATTCTTTACACAGATTAATTATACTCTGTTTAATCTTGGGCAACTCACTGTATTTCAAATTTATCTTCTTAAATCTTTCCTACAAATTGTATACCAAACATAGACCATACAATCATACCCAAAAAAAATCAGTTTTATTTGGATATCATTTATATATTTGTTGAGAAGAGATTTTTGTTTAATATTTTGTGACACCATCAGCAGAGATATGACATATGTACTGCATAACAGAATTACTTAAGGCTATAAGCTTTAAGCCGAGGGGACTGAAACATTTAAATTCAGAAAATAATTTAAAAACTCAAGTTAATCATGTGTTTCTTGTCATTTGTTTAGTTAGTGGAGATAACTGCCTTAGATTATAAACAAAACTTCAACAATCAAAGGTACCTTTTTCTCAACCTAGAATAAGCTTGTATATAGTAACATTTGCAGAAAAGGTAAGAAATTAAAACAAGTAGCAAGTGCAATCATGAGTTCCAAGTTGATATTAGGGAAATTCATAACAAGGGTTCATCCATTAAATGAAAAGTTTGTAAAGGGTTTCGTGGGTCCCTGTGAATGCTGCCTTTTTCAGTAAATAACATAATTTAAAATAAATAATCAATTTTTTCTTTAGATGCTATTTCTTGAAGAGGAGCTTCTGTCCAAGATATATATTTAAATACCTGGGTGTCTACATGTTAAGAGTTTCAAAATTTGCTCTGGACACTGTCTTTTGGTCATAAAAAATATCCTATCCAAATGTCATAAAATTTCATCAAGGTTTGACAAAGTTATTGATAAATTAAAAACTTTAAAATTAAATACATTTTAAGGTCTTAGTTTTTCAGTCACCAATAAAAAGTCCATTTAAGCTCACAAGGGCCATGTGAACTCAAACTGAAAATACCATGAAAGACAACACAGTGTAGTTACAAAATGTAAGTGAGCATGTGTAAAGGTAAACAGAAAATATGTCTCCCATTTCTAATACATGTACCAAAATAAATTTTGATTAAAAATAACAAATAAAATGCTTCACTGAGCGCAGCCTGATACGACTGCAGAGGTCAAACCCTGAACAGTTCGGGCAAATTTGGACACAACATTCAAGCTTGATACTGTCTGAATTTGGATTGTGATCAAATTTTTGACATAATATAGGCTTCTGACACAAAATAAATGTGGTCAAAGATCTTACAAATATATTGCGCAATACTGTTGATTGAAAATTTCTTCTTGAAACTTTTTAAAAATTTGAAATTTGAAAAATTTTGAAAAAAAAATATGAATCACTTAAAAAAATTGGAAACCCCCCCCCCCCCCCCCCCAAAAAAAAATTTTGTGAAACCCCCCTTGGAGCAATAACCCAAAAACTCAATCCCAGCCTTTCCTTTCGTAGTATGGAATATTGTACTACAATTTCAGAGAGATCCATACACTTAAACACAAGTTATTGTCTGGAAACTAGAAAAATGCTTGTTTTTGGCCCCTAATTCCTACATTTTTGGGGCAATTAACAGCCTTCCCTTTGTTATATGGAACCTTGTGGTACAATGTCAGAGAGATCCATACACTTACACACAAGTTATTGTCTGGAAACTAGAAAAATGCTTGTTTCTGGCCCCTTTTTGGCCCTCAATTCCTAAACTGTTGGCCCCATAACCCCTAAAATGAATCACAACCTTCTACTTGTGGTATCAAACATTGTGGTACAATTTCAGAGCAATCGAAATACTTATACACAAGTTATTATCCTGAAACTAGAAAAAATGCTTGTTTTGGGTCCCTTTTGGGCCCCTAATTCCTAAATGGTTGGGACCATCATCCCCAAAATCAATCCCAACCTTCCTTTTGTGGTATTAAACCTTCTTAAAAAATTTCATAGAGATCCATTCACTTAAACTAAAGTTATTGTCCGGAAACCAATGTGTCGTTGGACGACAACGCAGACATCATACCATTATACGATCCCAAAAAATTTTTTGCAGTCGTATAAAAACCAATATGCTGTTTTATTTGCTGTCCAATAAATATTACTGCCATTCTAGTGATATTTTTATTCCATTAGATAGCTAACATTTCAATGTATAAAATGATTTGAGGTGAAATACATGAATCAAATGTGAATTTTGCATAGAAATAAATGTGAATGTGTTCCATTAACACACCAATCTTCAAATCATTACAGAATCAAAATTTTCAAACTGGTAACAATCCCTCCCATAATTTAGACCAGGTTTTGATACCCATTATACATTTGTTAGTGCACACAACTTCAAACAACTGACTTTGATTGTTAGTTAAAAATTCATTCCAATAATTACCACTGAGGTTCTGGTGATTGCATTCTGTACAATAAAGTACAACAGAATGTTAGGAAAGGCTATATGAATTGTGTCACATTACTTTTACTAAATATGTGCGATTCATTCAAATGAATACTTGGAAATTTTTTTATTCAGTCCTAGTTTGGCTAAATTAAAAAGTTTTAAGTTTTCATATAATATCATATAATAAATAATAATTCTTGTATACTTAGTAATTTCCCAACATACCAGGCAAATGTACGCATCATCATGAGTCGATGTGATCAATGCAAAAATAATAAACTTAGATGAGAATTTAAACAAACATTAACTGAAAGATGAAACAAATGTTGAACATGTATGTAAAGATAAAATCATCTGAAACCATGCACCTAAAACAGCTACTCAAAATAATAAGATATGTCAGTTTCACCTGAGGTACCTATAGCATAATTTATAAACCTATACAGCTGAATAAATATTTGCAGATTAAAAAGTACATCAAAACATGCATTACTACACTTATACAAAATAAGTACATTTAAAATTTCTACTAAGAAAATATTAAAGTGAAACAAAATTTGGAATGTAGTGAACTGAAAATAAAGAAGATAACAACATTTTTGAAATATGCTTAAAGGTACAACAAAATGTAAAGGGTAAAACAGGTTAATTGTGAGGAAAACAAACACATCAGGTCAAAGTATTTAGAACAAAGTGCATGATTATCATTCTTATGTTGCAGAAAAAAAACAAAACAATAAAAGCCTTAAAATGCTATGTTTACATGAACTGTGCAATAAATTTAATCCTGTGGACAAATTTCAGGGACAATATTTTGTATGGAAGATCATGAAAATGTTGTTCAAATCATTACAAAGAACTAATTGAATAAAATATGTATTTTTTAGAGTCAGGACAGAACTTGGTCCCGGTAATAAATACAGTCAAACCTGCCTAAACTCTCACCTGTCAATAACAGTCACTTTCAGACCCTCCCAAACACTTTCTCAATACAAATTAACTTTTTTCAGCAGTCACCTGTCTGGACAGAGTTGGCAGTCACCTAATATTGACACAAAATTGTCATTTCAACTTTTAACAATGGTCATTTTAACTATCAATATAATATGACAGAAAATAAATGCATTCAGTATGGAAGTCAAAATGAGAATTGGAACCGGTTTTCAACTGAGACCCCTAATAGGAGGTGAATTCCTCGTCTTCTACATCTTTTAGTTTCCATTGAAAACAGTATCATAGACTTTATTTTTTAAAGAATATTAACATATTGCTAAGTTTTCTACTAATTTACAACACCTGATCCACCATTTTTTATTTGTTTGTTGGCAAGAAAGATAACTCTACTGATTAAAGACAATAAAACATTTTGCCGTGATCCCCGCAAAGGGCCATGTAGGAATTCGTTGGAACCTCTTTAAAAAGGTCAACTCTCTTGAGCTGTCACTTTTGATAATTCCCAGGAGTGACTGATTAATACAGGTTTGACTGTAATACTTCTATAAAATAAATAATTATTCATTAATGAAAAATAGCCATTTGGAAAATGTTGAAAAACAGGAATTCATATTTTTGATATTCAAGTAGTTACCTTTAAAAATTGATTTCAATGAGTACCAAAGGTACAAGAAAACTGTTGCAGAACGGTAATTTTTTCGATTTACATATGGTGTAAAAAAAATATAAATGATAAAAAAAAAAAATTTTAAAATAAGTTTTTTTTTCAGAAATACTTCCAAAAGCTTAAAATATTTAAAACACTGCTAGTCTTTTCTGACATTGAACTTTGTATTAATAAGTGCATATTTCAAGATCTTTTTAATCATCCCTTTAAAAGGAGTTTATTTTTCATCTAAACTACTTCTTGTACTTAAAAATTACTAAGAAAATTTTAAAATGCACCTTTCTAGGTTTTATGTACAATTTTATTAAACACGGCGAGATGATCTTGATTTTATCTTTATATACTGGTGTGTCTTTCTAGTGACATTAATTTTGTTTGACATAAAAAAGGGAAACTTTTTTTCCAAACATGCAAACCAAAAGCCTATGAGCAACTGTGCAAAATAAATGGAAAGCCACAACAAAAAACACTGCACTGCCACATCTATAGTATTCGTACATTTGCCCGTTGGTTGAGTAGAGACTTGGATCATCTACATACTGTACTTGGGTGGAATAAACAGTTGGTCCACCTTGTTGTAGTGTAACATTTTCATGTCCATGCTGGTTCTCTAAGGCTTCCTGGACAGCTGATGCTAAAATGAAAAAAATATTTTTATCTAAACAGTTCACTGGCATGTGGACAGTCTGAACAATTCAATTTGTGCTAATATGTTTGCTTGAACATACTTTTTTATACATAAAAGATCCATTTCATAATCAATTAGATTTAAGAAGAAGAAAAAGGATTGTCTTTTTCTCAAACATTTAATTGGTATGATACCATCCATATCTAATCTACAGGACTCTCAAGATGTGTGTATGCACCTTAATGAGAACCCCTTTTTTTTATTTATATTTTTTTGAATCACTTTTGGAGTTTTGGTGGTGCTGTACTCTTTTTTGGACATTAACATTTATTTAGTATGTACATTGCATCATTTTTTCCATAACTATAAGACAACTAAAAACAGCTGATCATGACTTTTAATGAGATTAACTGGGATACCTAATGTTATTGTCTGTTTGAATGAGGAGAATCAAACCAATGCTTACAACTTAAAACATGATTTCTGAACTTATAGCATTCAACTGTACTGCCAGTTTGCTTAGACTTACTTGTAATAACAAACTGTTGAGGATGACCCTGTGCAGACTGTATTATTGTTGTGCCCTGGGATTTCTGAGATGAATCTGAATTCTGAACTTGCTGTGCCTGTTTGGAACTCTGCAATATATATATAAAATTTACAACTCCCAGAACTCCCTAGTCATTTTAACCTTTGTATAATCATGATTCCTTGGCATTTGTGGTTCACTTTTGATAAGATTTTTTACTTAAAATATTATTTATAGTTTTAGAAATGACTTGCCTGACATAGCTGAGAACCTGTCTGGCCAAGTAAAACTTTACGCCGACTGGTAAGTTGCTATCTATGACAATTATTGAAAAGGATTATGAATGCTACTTTCTGAATGGTAATAAAATATCAAGTTCCTCCAAACAAATTAACGGAATCATTTTTTTTGCTATTTAAAAAGAAAGACAACTGTTCTATTAACTCTTAAACAAGGGGTTTAAACAGTACACAGAGAAATAAACGGGTGTATAAAAAGAAAACTAAATCAGCACAAAATAACAAAAAGAAAATATTTTGATACCAATGAAAGGAAACAAGAATTTCAACTCCATAAATTGAGAGTACAAAAGCAAAAATTATACATAAATAAGTTTAAATTGATATGATATTACAACAGGTTGTAATCCTGAGGGACAAGTTGAGCTTTATTACTTGTAGGTAAAATAAATGGGGAATGTGTCCATTAGACACAGATGATGCCCCCGCTTGCATACAACGTTATAAAGGGACATAACTCAAGAACGATAAAAGTGATGCTACCCAAATTCATCTTGATCTGAGTTATGTGGTAATAAGCATTGTGTACAAGTTTCATAACATTTGGTTGAGGCAAACTTTAGAGAATGGAATTGAAAAATTCAGCAATTTTCAATTTGTAATGGGGCATAACTCTAGAATGGTATAAGTGACGCCACCAAAATTCAAACTTGGTCTGTGTTTTGTGGTAATAAGCATTGTGTATAAGTTTCATAATATTTGGTTGAGGCAAACTAAAGTTAGAGAACGGAAACCAATTTCGGAACGTACGTACGGACAAGAGTAAAACTTAATGCCCCCTCAGCTACAGCGGGGGCATAAAAAAATCATTGTTACACTGGAGGTGATAACTATTATCATCAACATAATTATTAACAGAAACAATACACACAATTCACTTTCATGTTATGACAAAATTCCTTGTTTTGGTTTTTTTGATGGTTGTATTTATGTTCACTGTTTAATGGGGTTCAAACAGTGGTTAATAAAATGCTCCGTTGGGCGCAGCTTGATACGAACGCAGAGGTCGAACCCTGAACAGTTAGGGCAAGTATGGACACAACATTCAAGCTTGATACAGCACTGAATTTGGATTGTGATTAAATATTTGACATAGCATAGGTTTCTGTCACAGAATGAATGTGGTCTAAGAACTTGAAAATTTTTTAATTTACCTATTCAAACCATATCATTATTTTTTACTTTTATATATAAATCAGAAATAACCAATTAAAAATGGAAAATTTTAAAGAAAAAAAAATCCCTCCCCCAAATTTTTTGAACCCCCTTATGATTCATCACCCCCAAACTCAATCCCAGCTGAACCCCCTTATGGTTCATCACCCCCAAACTCAATCCCTGCCTTCCCTTTGTGGTATGGTACCTTGCAGTACAATTTCAGAGAGATCCATACACTTGAACACAAGTTATTGTCTGGAAACTAGAAAAATGTTTGTTTTTTGGCCCCTTTTTGACCCCAAATTCCTAAATGTTTGGGGCAATTACCCCCAAACTCAAACCCAGCTTTCCCTTTGTGATATGGAACCTTGTAGTACAATTTCATAAAGATCCATACACTTACACACAAGTTATTGTCCTGAAACTAGAAAAATGCATGTTTTTGCCCCTTTTTGGCCCCTTATTCCAAAAATTTTGAGGCAATTACCCCAAAAATCAATCCCAGCCTTCCCTTTGTGGTATGGTACCTTGCAGTACAATTTCAGAGAAACTTAAACTAAAGTTAGAGTGCGAAAACCATTGTGTCTTCGGACGACGATGCCAACGTCATACCAATATACGACATAAAAATATCTGACTAGCATTTTTTTGGAAAACCTGGTATAAATACTGAATAACAGTACAATGTTTTACGATTGAGAGCAGAACTTCAATCCTTGGTAAACAAGACCAATACTGTATCTGCATCTGCGTCGCTGCGTGCAATTGATTGCGGTTACATTTAAACTGAAGCAAAACAGATCATTCCCTTTCGTTAAGGCAAGAAATCTATGGACTTAAATTTTCGGTGTACAATAAGTATTGGAAAAAATTCAAACTTTTGGCAATCAGGAAGTGGCTCCATTGCGAAGTATAAATTGCTCACATCTGATGTTCATTTTTACTGAACTTATACACATTTTTGTTTAGGGGCCAGCTGAAGCCCGCCTCCGTATGCAGGATTATCTCGCTGTGTTGAAGACCCATTGGTGGCCTTGGGCTGTTTTTTGCTCTTTGGTCGGGTTGTTGTCTCTCTGACACATTCCCCATTTTCATTCTCAATTTTACAACTCAACATTAACAAATTACAGCTGACCAAAAACAAAAGCATTCCATTGCATAAACATGTAGAAGGGTAGAAGCAAGGAAAGCTTTGATGAAAGTTTTCTACACAAGGTCTTTTGGACAGATGAAATGACTAAGTGTAGTGGTTACTATAACTGCTTTAGTACATAACAACACAAGTAATGTCCTTATTCTTACCTGTAACTGTACTACTGTTGGATTCATGGCTTGAAGATCCGTTACAAAGGTCTGTGTAGCCATGTCTCATGCCTACAAATATAATGAAAACTGTTAAAAGATGACTTCTACTTCAACTTTATTTTAAATGTACTGGCAACAAAATCTTTCTTAATGTTACATCTATATCTCCTTTCCCTTGAGGTGTACATGTAGAACTTCATTAGGTCCGGTCAAGAAGAACATACAAAAAAATTGTTCATTTTTTAAACAAAATGGTTCCTACATGTACACATAGCTGTAAATTTGTAAATAAGTAAAATATTTTGGTCATTTTTATATCAAATGAAAGCTTAAGACTTGGGATTACTGTTAAACCCTTTTTGAAAGTTTTAGAAAAAAAAAATTATGAAATTAAAATAGAAGGGCATATTTGCCATGAAGCTCAGATCAGAAGTATCTGATTTTTATCTACCAAACATCCAGGAAGCAGCGTGCCCTTATATGCAATTGAAGGTTTGTAAAATTTTTCAACAAAAGCCAGGATAAGGTATTGTTTTGATCTGAAATAGGTGTTGCTTTATTTAAACGCAAGACCAGGGTTCTCACTAAGCAGTCTATGGATTTTTGAAGGCAAGTTCATGCATTTGTCGTTTTTGGCTATGGCGAGTCCAACAGTAAGACAATGAAATTTATTCTATTTTATTCTATATAATTTATCATTGAAAGATCTCTACTAGAAAATTTGTATTTCTCATGAGTTTGTTTTAATCAAGTTAAGTGATTAAGTGTAAAGATGTCATAAACAGTCTGAGAAAAGCATGGCTTTGTGTAAACGTATAGGCAGGATAATATTTTAAAAAACACTTTTTTCCTACATCCTACAGGGTTTTCACTAGGATAAAAGTGTTTTTAAATATATATATACTGAATATAGCCACATACATTGTATTTCTACATGTAGTTACATTTTAATTTATCAAAAATTAAAACAATGTTATCACAAATAAAGACAATATTCAATACTGTAATCAGCCTTGTATAGTTTACACTGGTACATAGTCCGCAACCCCTTCTAGCCACGAGAATTCAAGTAAAAAAATATTTGTAACGGGTCAAAACATTTCTTGAAACTACTGTCAGGGTTTTCATTAAGAACCGGCACCCGGCAGAATGTAGCCGTTTCAAAAGACGGAAATCTCCGGTTCATATGCTTAAATAATAAATATTTTTTAAGAGAATTGTCTCATGGAGTTCTTAATTTCATAGATTTTACAAATACGATGCCCTTTTATAACCAACTGGAGTTAAGTTAACTTAAATCAGTGTCATTAATACATTTCACTGCATTCAAATATGATATTCAATCAATCGCATGAATGATCAAGATTGTTTAGTTAAAAGCAAGAGAGGCGTTGAAATAAAAACTACGTTATCAATGGATAGTTAATGAGAAACCAAAATTTTAAAGTTTTAGGAGGCAATATTTTTAATGTCAATAAATGAAACGGAATGAAAAGAACGACAAAAATAAAATGATTTCTTTAACAGTAAAAATTCAAAATCAGTAGAATCATTAACAGGTTAAGACTTTCTATTTGAAGTTTAAAAATTTTAAAGAAGGTTTGTACAGTATCATGTTTATATAAATGAGGCCTGCCCAAGTTTGCCTTCTTTGCCCTTTTTTATAATGTAATTAATATGTCACTGATTTTTACCATCCTTTAGGCTAAGGGGGTGCTGCCCAAATTTTTTTGATGTTTGGACCTTTTCTCTCAGTTTGTACTGAATACTAATAGCATAATGTAGTCCCAGGTTTTCCTCACTGCCCATTTGTTGGGGATGGGGGTCAACAAAGGAGCCTGGGCTAGGAGGAATGCAATGTTTATTTATAGTTGGACCTTTCCTCTCAAGTTTTTACTGAAAAAGGGGGAGGGGTAAATGTCAAGGCTATGGAAAAGGCTGTCATTTTTCATAGTTATAGTTTTCCCATTACTAATCATTAGCCCACATGTTGAAAAAAGTACCTAAGCTAGGTAAAAATAAGGAGATGTGGTATGATTGCCAATGAGACAACTATCCACCAAAGTTCAAATGAAGTGGATGTAAGCAATTATAGGAAACCCTACGGCCTTCAACAATAGAAAAACCCATACCGTTTAGTCAGCTATAAAAGGCCCCGACATGAAAAATGTTTGGATCGTTTGCAATATTTTCCTGGAAAAACTGGTTTTCCATCATCAAGAAGTTAAAAATGCTTGTAAATGATTCTAGGACATTTCACGAGTGTTAAAATAAGTCAAAATCACAAAAAAAAATATCCGGAAGCAAGAATAGCATGTGTAAATCGAAAATAAATACAGTGATAGTATGCAGAAAATCCGAACTTAATAGATAACACTAGAATACTACTTTGAAAGTAATACAGTTCCATCCTTTAGTAAAATACCGTTCAACATATCCATCATATTGATGTTTGAAGGATCTCAAGCTAAAACAAAACACATGCTTCAGTTTGAATCACCAAAACGGAACAAATAACTGATTACATTTTGTAGTTTATACATCGTTATTCATAATCTGGTTCCTGGCTGACTTATACACTTTTTTAATGCTGTGAAAACAAACGAAAAATTTGTAAATAAACATTTATTTTTGAAATTTATCACTTTTATAATGGATTTTTAATTAAAATTGCATATTTACATGGGTTAGGTAAAATATTAGTTTTGAAAATAATACATGTAAGGGCGCCCTCTACAATTTCAATAACAAACATGGTGGAACGTAAACAAACCTTGCGAAATAGAGTTTTTCTCTTATTTTCTTGCTTATCATACTCCATTATCCGCAACCATGTCTGGCAGCTTTAATTTTGGAGAATAAAACAGCGGACAATACAAGCCTGAATTCTTCAGTCATAAATAAGGGCAATAAGTGCGAGATCAATAAGGTGTCAACCAAGGTAATTTAAAAAAAAAACAACACTCCCTCTCAAAAGATATTATTTATGGAATGGATTTCAAATTAAACAAAATAGATTCTGGATGAACTTTAAAAAATGACAATGCCTCCTGCTTATTCAAAGATTTCACTCCAATTAGGCTCAGGCTGATTTGCTTTCAGGTTAAACATGACTGGACATCATAAATGAAAGAAGATTTGAATGAGTGTAATCAATTCATTTTTGTAGGTGATGAAAAAATGCATTTAATGCATTGTTAAATTTTCTCAGATACAACACTTGCACACACGAAAACTATCTAGGTCAATGAATCCATATTACAACACTGAGCCAACATTGAATAGGGCACATTGAAAGCACAGAAATACTCTTTACTTAATGATTAAATAATAAAATTCTCTAGAATTTTTGAAACAGTTTTCTTAGTCAAAGCAATATGATTTCTCATTACCATTTAAATCATTTTTCATCAAGTACCTAATATCTATATCTCATACAATGGTAAGTATTGGATTCTAAACAAATTAAAAAAACGATTTCCTAAAGTTCATATAATTCAACACATGTAAGTGTTTTATATTACACTTCTCAAACAATGATGGACATTTTCATTGACGCTTCAAAATGTTACAAGTTTCGGCCTCTGTTGACTTGAACTTCCGCAAGAGTTGAAATATGTCAGAAAACATTAAACCCTCAAGATAATCATTCTGAATATTTAAGTCAAAGAGTTATATAATGTTATCTGCTTGTATTTTGCTTTAATTTAAAACAATATTATTTTCAGTATATCTGAATTTAAGAAATTGTTCAAAATGAAAAGTAAATATATATATTAAGTATAAGGTTGGATCCATTATAAGTTTTCAAATTATATATTGAACTTAAAAAGAAGTCCTAATTCTGTAAAAAAAAATATTCACAAGATTAAAACAATATGTTGAGTATACACTGAAAATGAAAATTTATCATTAAGAAGGATTAAATAGGTTGAACATGTATTAATTGATGTTACTTTAATTCAAATGTGGCCTACTGTTTTATTTTGTTTTAATGTACATTCACTACAATACTGAGTATTCTGCAAAATGCATATTTATCATTAAGAAGGATTATATAGGTTGAACATGTATTAATTGATGTTACTTTAATTCAAATGTGGCCTAATGTTTTATTTTTTTTTTAAATGTACATTCACTACAATACTGAGTATTCTGCAAAATGCATATTTTTCATTTGATAATCATTAGTGATAGAATTCAATATATCCATATATATATATACATGCTGTATCTAAATAAACAAGACAAAAAAATTACAATGAATTCATATATGACACATGATTGGACATGTTCTCTTATAATACCAATGTCAGAAAATATTAAACACACAAGATATTCATTCTTAATACTTAAGTCAAGAGTTTAAACATTAATAATAAAACTAGCAAATTCCCACATATTTATCACACTTTTAATACCTGCGACAACGTTTTTAAGAATTCGATCCTGTTACTTAGCAACCCTCTTTTTGGTCCTTGGTATCAGGCCAACAACCATGGCATTTGCCCTACATACGAACCAATCGACGTTTCGAATGTTATTTACTACCAAAAACGTCTTTGTTATAACATTTCTAGCCAAAAATACAATAATGGGTGTATATATTATAAATTAAAACTTTAAGGGTAAAATTACAAAAGTTTTAAAAGTTGAAATACACTTTAACAAATCAATGTTTTTTTTAATGATTCGCCATTTTAACTTGTTTACACAACGACAGTAACTGGGGTGTGTTAAAACACAAAATGGGGAAATTTCTCTTCATTTTAAAGGGTATCATAATTTCAAATGATGCGCTCTAACTACATATGATTAGATGTAAAGAAAATTCACCTTAATTGTTGGTGGGTAACAGTCGTCAGAGCTACGGTGGCTATGGCGTTTATTCCTACGGCAACTGTTGCCAGACTCCTCGCGTCAGCAAAAGGAAATATTCATCCGCACAGGAACTGAACTATTTTCTGCATATCCTGTTTTTAGTTGAATGAATAACATACAATTGAACTATTGAAACTTGAATAATTCCTTACAACAATCAATAAAAAATTCAGTAGACAAAGTATTTCATTTGTCGCAAGTACAGAAAATTAAAGAATATGAGGAATTATTTTATCGGAGAAATATCCTGTTGCATGTTCTGCGTAAAATATGAAAATGAATTTTAAAATGGCGGAGATGCTATTGATGACCTTTTGCGTCCCTTAACAACTGGGGCATGCTTTGAGATAACTTTGTGTTTACAGAACAACAACACAAAGATAATAATATCAATAAAAAGATAAAAGCGAATATCTTCGCTTCCACTCTTTTGAATATTATAAGCTTCTTGTTGGAGCTAAAAATAAACCGTTAGCATAGGTCACGTGAGTTACTTACATTCGCACGTGGCTTTTCGCTTTGATGAGGCCCACGGGGGAACTGGAGTTTTTTTTTAATTTTGCAACATTTATTATATAATCATTCAAATAGTCCGATTTTCAAGTATGGACAAGGGATTGCAAAAATGTTAAAATATATGCTCTGTTAATTTATTTTTATCAGATACTAATAATAATATGACGTTACAATACGTTACGTTAACAATTAGAGTTGCATAAGTAAGTGTCTCTGTATTGCGGTTAATTCGTAATACCAGGCTTATAATTTGATGCGACTGTCATACAAGTGAGAGGTTTAGCTAGCTATAAAACCAGGTTCAATCCACCATTTTCTACATAAGAAAATGCCTGTACCAAGTCAGGAATATGACAGTTGTTATTCGTTCGTTTGATATGTTTGAGCTTTTGATTTTGCCATTTGATTAGGGACTTTCCTTTTTGAATTTTCCTCGGAGTTCAGTATTTTTGTGATTTTACTTTTTTCGTACGCCAGACACGCGTTTCGTCTATATACTCAACAGTAACGCTCGAATAAGAAAGTCAAAACTTATAGATATCTTCAATGTAGATATCAAATAAAAATAGCAGAAATAGGTGTAAACACAAATTTAATATTTCTTTTTTATCATCAATAATGACTATTTCTATTTAATCACCATAATTTCGGTAATATTCTAGAAGGAACTAAAATTTTAATTTTAATGTTATATGTTTCACATAAAAGAAACTTAAATCTTTAAATGATGCTGAATTTTTAAAGTTATCAAAACAATTTGTTTTAATGTGAATCCAAATTTCTACTTATCTTTATTTTTTTATTATAATACTTAATTTATACCTAAAAAAAGGGGGGGGACTCGTTGAAGCTGATTGTTTTTTGCTTTTTTTGTTGTTGTTGAATTCGTCTTTTTATTTTATTTGTTTTATGATATAATCTCATTGCATTTTACCTGAAGTCATAATGAATTAAATTAACCATCATTAATGTAAATTTAACTATTCCAATCTTCAAAAATAGACAGATGCATGTCTACACAAAATGTAAGGCTTTAAGTTGTTTCTATAGACAGTCCGAATTGTCTTTTTAGTAGACACTCAATCATCAGTTATATAGTAAAAACTCTCCTTTAATACGTTGTTTGAGTTGACATTACAGACGGTCCGAGTTGACTTTATAGACAGTCCGTGTTGACTTATTGACGGTCCGAATCCAGTCTGTGCCTTCAGCCACTAGCACTATGCCCAGGTCTAGTAAAAATTGATTCAGACAGTGATAAGATCAGATATAAGATAAGATATTTTTTATTCCAATTAAAGGGCCCATGAAGAGCAAAGTAATTTATTACAATGATTTTGATAATTGACTGGCACAATAATTTTGGTAATCATATATAAATATGAATATAATCATCTCAATTCTAAGATCTTAAACAGCCAGACCAGAGCTATCTAATTGTGTTATCCCTGATTCAGGCTAGTGAAAATTTAGTGAAATTTTGTTTACTTATGTAGGAATAATGTTGAAATCGGGCTAGTAGCTGGAAAATTTTTTGGCACAGACTGCGAGTTATGTTCATATACGGTCCCGAGTTGTCTTCTGGCCAAGTTGTCTTGCACCCATCGATACAGATAATTTTATCAACCAACCAAGGTGCCCTTTGGAGGACAGCTTAATTACGATATTACGATATGTATAATTATTTATAACGTAATAAACAAACGAAACGATATTAACTATTAAGACACTAATGGTTCATTTGCATAATAATTGTATTGATTGTATATATATTTTTAACTTAATCATAAAATTGAAATGTCAACATTAATGTATTTTTATTGAAGATATTCATCTAGATTTGGACAAAGAGAGACAACTCCATCACACTCATATTAGATGTGCGGTCCGAATTTCCGTCAGTTCAGATATCATATTTGATATAAGTTTTATAACATAACTATCTTCATTAGTCATTAACCATTAACATTTATTCTCTGAAGAAAGCTAAATAAAAATTTTGTATCTATAATTCAGATCAATGATTTAAATCTTTAATATCAGTATAAATAAGAAGATGTGGTATGAGTGCCAATGTCTCAGACAACTTTGTTTTGATAAGAAACTATGCTTTGATAGTAGTTGTTACTGTCTTGCCTTAACCATTTATTATAAATGTTTTCGTACAAATAAAGATTGTCTATTGTCTTTTGTCTGTATTCAATCATATAATGTTTTCTGATAGATCTAAATAGAAATGCATGGAATGTGTCACCCAGCATAAAAATAATTTAATTGTCTATGGGCCTCAGTATTCTGTGCTGCGCAGTAGTGTCAGCTGGATTTTGTCCTTATTTTGCATTTTTGTGTTGTAAGCATGTTTTAATTTCATTTCTTAAAATAATGCATTCTTCTTTTCGATTTCGTCTAAAATCTGTAAATAGAGAATCCATGCTGAAATATATATATAATCAGTGACTGCAGTGGACAGCAAACTAGGGATTAATAGTAAATGGTAAACACATGTTTTTTTCCAGTATATTTGTGATGATATCACATAAAAACGCGAAAATGATTGAAATTAAAAGAAGATAAAAAAATTACGGATTTTAGAAAAAAGGGGGAGGGTAAAAAAAAATTTGTCCTGTCCCCAATTTCCTATGATCTTGACGTCGCAGTATCAAATCGAAGTCCAAAACTTTTATTTGTGGAACGCCACAGCTGTCTTATATGTGGTGGTTTTTATTATCTGTTGATAATATTATATCTGTACATTTACTTAAGAGCTATCGAGGATGGATAGAAGGCAACAGACGATAAAAAGTTCGTCGAATTAATATTGTAAGGCAATCGACTGTTTGTCGCATGAGTTATGGTTAATAAAATAGTTTAATAGTTGCCTATAATTGTTTACATCCACTTCATTTGAACTTTGGTGGATAGTTGTCTCATTGGCAATAATACCACATCTCCTTTTTTTTATATTAATAGACTGATTACAAAGCTACTTGCAAAACAGAAAACAATGTGTAAAGTTTAATAATAGCTGTAGTAATTTTTCAAAGGTGATCCGCCACTGGACGTTAAGCAAACAACAATCAATCAATCAATCAAAGGTGATCCATAATTGGTCATATATGAAAAAAGAAGATGTGGTATAATTGCCAACGAGATAACTCTCCGCCAGGGACCGAATGACGTAGAAGTTAGCAACTGTATACGACATTCAACAATGAGAAAATTCCATACTACATAGTCAGCTATAAAAATCACCGAAATGACAAATGTAAAACAGTTCAAACCAGAAAACTAATATATTTGTATGTAGAGATAGCCAAAGCCAACAGAAAAAGCTGCCTGTGTATATACGTGGCTAAGCCTAACAAAATCTTTGTAAGGAGACTTCTCTTGAAAATATAAACCTAGATTTTCCAATCTTTTGAAAAACAGGAACCGGCCTGCACAAGAAACTACCGTTTTGCGTTCTTATTTTTCATGTGAGGCCAAAAGAGAGGATGAAATAGCTATGCCAAAATAGATGAAAACAGTCCAATAGCGGAAACGTTTAGTGACCACAATAAACACAATACGTTTCAAAATTTAATGAACCTATAAGCCGTTAATAGCAATATATTTTTGATGACCAGTAGCAGTAGACTAGTTTAATACAATAAAGAAATTAGATAAAATATCAATAATATATCTTTTAATTTTTTTCTTTCATTTCTCAAATTGTTTTGTGATCAGATGCAGTGCACGCAATGGCGTGTTAGCGTATATGGAGCTACCCTCTGTCTACCTTAATCTTGGAACGTTGTTTTAAGAATACAGCATAACATCAGTTGGAAAGGGCTCACTTGACTCGTCAGATCGGCACAAAACTCACAATTCAACTTACAAAACAAAAATTAAGAAAAACAACAAGATATACAAATTTTGTTTACCGTTTGTTTTGCCTTATATATATATAGACTTCTTTACTTATTTGACGACCGCCACAAAAAAAGCGTGTATGACTAATGTGTCTATATTGAGAGAAAACAATAGTTTTAACATTCGAACTGTTTTATCTATTAAACTATTTCTTTGATTGGAAAATAATTTTTTTGCACTTTATATATATATAAGAAACTGTTAGTCCTATGTAGAGAGGTTAACAGGGACCGGTCTTGATTATCATTCCCCTCCCCTTACCCCCAGACTGACATCGGTCAAAGTAACGTTTCAAGCATATTCATTCCCCCCCCCCTCTTCCCTGGGATTCGGGCCCCTGCCGGACTACAGCTTCTCGCCCCTCATTTCCAGGATCCCTAAATGACATCATCAGATAGGACAGTGCATACCTTGTTGAAAAGGACAGATTTGTGACGTCCATGACGCAATATAGAATAGGACACAGATCTGAGGAATGGACACAGATTTGAGTGTAGGTATAGATTTGATGCCTACATACTAGTATATACGAACATCAATCTTTTATTTCGATAAATTGCATTCTCTGATATACCTCGCACTATCTTGAAAAAGCAACTACTATAGTATTTGGATTTTTATAACACTGAAAGAGTTTTGTCTTAACTATTTGTTTGCAAATAGTAACTGTGAAAAAATAGGGGATGGAACCATTGAACAGAGAACATTCCCTTTGTGTTCGAAAATTTGGTTTTTGTGTACCCTTTTCTCATATTTTACTACCTTTTTTTCAGCGGGATCCTCCATCCCCTTTATGAAAGTACTCGGGGGAAATAAGAACTCAAATTAAAACTCAAAGTTTAACTCAAAACGCAACTGGAACTATATCTCGAAACGCACATACAGATTTATCTTACCTCCTATACAGTAAATTCCATATGGGTTGCGAGTTTTGCTCTTACCCATATGGAATTTACTGACCCGATATATATCGTATTAGGTCACTAGCACACTGTGTAACTAATAATATTGATGATGTTCTGTCTATCAACAATTCTAACTTTTCTGATTGGTTGCATACCCTTTGAACTTTTCCCAAGACTGCCTGTACTTGAAAAACGATGTTTGATAGAAGGCAGAATAAATAACTTTTGACATAATGCTGAAAGCACCCTTCAAGTGAATATGAAAGAAAATAATTCCTGTAGGAAAAGGGATTTTGTGGGGCAACTAAAACAATGTATAGTTTTGCTTTAGAAATAACTTTTAATTGTTGTGATTACCATATTAAACAAACTATTGATGATTAACGTCCAGTGGCAAATATTTCATACATATCACGACGATAACATGTTAAGTGACGATCATTTGTGGGCAAGCAATATACTTAACCAATATATCATGCATTGGGAATCATGGACCCTGTGGAACAGGTCCAAAATTAATGATTTTTACTATTTATTAATGACTTACCAGAACATGTAACTTGCATTGCAAGACTTTTTGCAGATGACTGCTTATTGTATAGAAATGTAAATAATAATTCTAATGCACAATTACTTTAAAATGATTAATCTAGTTTAGTGAAATGGGAACAGGACTGGCAGATGAATTTTAATCCTGAAAAATGTTATGTAATACATATATCTAATAAAAATAACCCTTCTGCTTTTGATTATACATTGCATAATCATGTTTTAGAATCTGTTAAAGACAGTAAATATTTAGGTGTAACTATAAGCCATGATCTTGACTGGGGAACACATAATATTACCTGTAACAATGTGTAAGGCAAATAAAACCTTACTGGGTTTTCTTCGTAGAAATTTAAAAACTGCACACATAAGGTTAAAAACCTTACGTACACATCACTTGTCCGTCCAGTCGTCGAATACTCTTCCCCTGTTTGGGATCCGTACAAAAAGCACCACATCACTCAGGTTGAGCAGATTCAGCGTAAAGCAGCCTGATTTGTCTTTAACGATTATAAAGACAGAACACCGGGAGCAGTTTCCAACATGATAAATTCTTTGCAATGGGAAAGTTTACATATAATAGACGAAATAAAGCTAGATTTACGATGCTATATAAAATTAATTGGGGGTAGTAGAAGTTCCAAAGGACAATTTAACAAAATCTGATAGACGTACTAGGGGGCAACATAAATTTCGTCAAATTTCAACTAATAAAGACTTCTATAAATATTTTTTATCCGAACACCATCTCTGACTGGAATTCACTACCTGAAGCAATAGGTATGTCTGACACCCTGGAATCCTTCAAAAGTGGCATATCTGTCGGGGCTAACTCAACTATCGTTATACAGAAAGAACACAACCATACAGTTTAACGTTTACTTCATATATATTAGAGCTGCTAAGGCTACGTCCCGCATTGACGTCAACCCTAGATACAATTGGTAAAACGCGACGTCTTAACTCCCGCGGTATTCTCAACATTCTCCGGGCCGCTAAAAGTAAATATTAAAATTAAATTACAATAAAGTAAAAATGAATGAAAATTACTGTCTATCAAATCTAAACTTGACTTTAACTTAATAACTTTAGCACAGTCATTAACTTCCAGATTAGTTATCTTCGAATTAAATCACAATGAGTCTATCTCGTATACACAAATCACAGTATGTCTATATTTTCCGTGCACCTGTTCCTTCTTTCAATGAAATAGTATCATATTATAGGTTTTTGAAAGTAAGTCAATAAATCAAACATTTTCGTAACAGTCCATGATAAGTCACAACAGTTCATTAGATACGTATCATTCAGTCCATCTTTTAATATTTTCCCTGTCGGTCCTGCTTCCTCATCTCTCTCGATAAATCCGCGACGTGTCTGTTCCTTTATCATTTCTTTTAAGCCAAATTCCTCTGATTTATTCGAAACCAGTACGTTCAAGATGCTGGATGTCGTAGACGAATGTACC